CATTTTGTGTAATCCAAGTTTTCTCCAAGCACTTACTCGTATTTGTGTTCACTTATGTGACTTGTGAAAACTTATGCATTTTTGTGTTGTTCTAAATTTTTTAGAATAAACTTACGTTTTTTGTGAGAATTTATTCATTTTTGTGAAATTACTTATGTGAGTTGTGAAAACTTACGCATTTTGTGAAATTCAAGTTTTGTCTAAGAACTTACTCATATTTGTGTTTACTTATGCATTTTTGTGAAATCACTTATATGACTTGTGAAAACTACGCATTTTTATGTTCTAAATTTTTTGGAACAACTTATGCATTATTGTGAAAGTTTACCTATTTCTGTGAAATCACTTGCGTGAGTGATAAAAATTTACTCATTTTTGTGAAATCAAAGTTTTTTTCCAAGGACTTACTTGTAATTGTGTTCACTTACACATTTTTGTATTGTTCTAAATTTTTGGAAACAAACTTACGCATTTTTATGAAAACTTTTTGGGTAAATTACACTTTGCACCCCTACACTTTGCACCAAATCTCACTTTGGCCCCTACACATAAAATGACGAGAGCTAACCCCCTGCAATTCTGGTTAAATCCCACTTTGGTCCCTACACATAAAATCATGACAGTCAATCCCTACACTTTTACTCAAATCCCACTTTGGTCCATACACTTTTATTCGTTGCTCTTCGTACTCTTGGGTCCAAGCTCCGCGTTACTCCAAGTGACGTCGTACAACTTGAGAACAAAGCGACGGTAAGCTATCCGGCGAGTGTGTTGCCGGAAAATCCCTTCGACGGTCAAGTTAATACACTTGGAGAAGATGATAGAGCCAAAAGAGACAAAATAAAGATAGCTCTGATAGCCAAAATTCTAGACTTGTTGCATGGGGGCGCCGCACAGTTTATATAGTTTTTGTGCACACAACTCTGCTTATCCTTTCCTAGACACGTGGACATACTACCTTCTCTTTGTCTTACACGTGTGTATGAGACAATGCAGCCAAATAACATTGACAAAACAGCTTAACGGTATTGACGCGTATGGATAGTAGGATCTTCTCCACAACTCTTGATTGCACCACATATCGATCACTGCCAAGCTACCTTTAGTGTGGTGTTGCAATCTTCTTTTGGAACCGCCCTATTTGCTCAGTCCTATCGAATGCCCATGATAAACGCTCAATCGAACTCTGCAGCTCAGTTGCTTCCACGATCGGTTGAGCTTAATTCATGAAAGACAAATTCCATCCAAACAGAAGCTCGATCAAGTACATGACCCTAATTCGACCGAGCTAGCATCTCAGTCTAATCCACTTCGGGCCGTTCTAACCTAGACATGCAGTCTCCAAGTCTAGCTCAAGCCCAAACTAACTTGGCCCTTCAGTTTGGCCTAAATCTGCCTCTCAGGACCTATGGTGGGCTTCACAAATCTCTCAAGTTCTCTCATGTTGAGATTCCAATATAAGAGAAACTCAGTCTTTTTAAATATTCTGATTTTTTACCATCAAAACAAACCAATTCAAAATAACTATGGAAAAAAAATAGAATTTCATTTAAAGGAAGTGGTGATATTTTTAAATTTGTATAATTGTTGACATTTTTAAGTTGTAATTTATTTTTTTCTTATTAAAAATGATAAAGTGTAAAAGATCGATTATTATTATTATTATAGACCATGAAAAAAATATTTCAAAATTGTATGATATAAATTTAAAATTAAATAATGTGGGCCCATTTAAAATAATTGTGATTATAAATGTGTTTTTCTGAATTACTTATCTAAATATTTATTCTAAGTTTATATTATTATTTTTTGTATCAAATTTCATTATTGATTGTGTAGCCAAACAAAGCATTGGACAAATTGTGACCATGCATAAAGTCACCAGTTCAAGCAATGGAAAGCTCTACCTTTTGTCTTTTAGCAAGACCCATCGAGCACCTGTGTCCAACCCGACTTAACCCATTCTCTATGCAGCAGAATGAAACCAACTCAATTACAAACCATTTTCTAATTGGACTCTTGATGGTGTGCTAGCAAGTGATTGGGTGGTCATATTGGTGCCAACTTAGTTGGGATTGATATGTGTCACTATGATGCTATTTGCACCCATCCTCTTTTTCCTTCCTTTCTTGATGTAATAAGTTCTTTGTTCATCAATAAAGGTTTTTTTGCCAATCAAAAAAAGAAAAGAAAAGGGTTTTAGATAGGTTATTGGGCGGGTTTATGGACATGGGCTAAACTTGCCAGCTCTACACTCCTGAACAATTTTGTCAACATTTTGTAGAACACTCGAGCTATTTCAGAGATCTTATTGGAAGAATTCATTTTGAATTTGAATTTTTGAAAATTTCTATGATGATTCTCGAAGGAGCTAGAGAATTGAAGAAGAGAAGAATCAATTTCAAATCTACAAATTTCTATTGCTATATAGGCTATAGAGTTTTAATTTGAATTGTGTTGTAGTATGTTTTAGTCTACTTTTTAGATTGAGTGTTTACAAGGTTAGGAGAAGTTATAAATGTAGGTTGGATTTTTGAGTTCGGGGAGGAATTGGAGAGATTGTAAAAAAACACTATTTCATCAATACAGATAATTTTATTTCATTTCCATGGTATTCTAATTTTCCTTGCTAAGGTTAGAGGTGAATCTTCAATAGTTTCTTTATAAATATTTTATGATTCAATTATGATTTTTAATGTTAAGATTATTTTGATTAGCTGGTTTATTTATTTGGGAAAAGTTTTTATTCTGTATAATATCTTGTTCTATCGTAGACTCCGGGCATGGTAGAAGCTTAATATTCCCTGCGAATCAAATAACTAGATTTTTATAGTGTAATCAATCAGTCAAAATTATCAATCTTTCGAAATTAATTTTTATATGAAATAACCTTTTTTATCTTCCAATTTATAATACCCTTTGTGTATGTCTCAACTGAGTTATACAAATTGAATCTAAAATATTTTAAAGAAAACTTTGGTGGAGGATCCTTGATACCTCAGCAACCTTTTTTTCATAGTCATCTTATTTTATCTTTTAGCTAATTATTTTTCTCAGATTATCCAACCATTTCAAAAATTTAAAATCATATTTTTCTTTATTTAATTTTAGTGTTCGGTAATTATTTTGAACAAACCAATCCATGTGGATTTGACCTTGGACTCACCAAGTTATATTACTTCGCGACATCCTGCAGTTGGGATTGCAATATAAAAGTTGTAGCATCTTACACTTAATGACTAACTCACTTAAGCTCGTATATCTTGGATGGTGTGATTCTTGGATGTCGCTCCATCCAATGATGCAACATTATTAAGAATCAAACTACAAACTCAATATGCACAACTCAATAGTCAAGATCTCATCTAGATCTATTGAGACAACTCCAAATTTGTCAATCAACAACACTTAGCATGCCACTCATAATAACGCACACATCAATTTGTGTTGTGCCAATCAACGAAAAAAATAATAATAAAAATAACAGCAACGTTGAGTCATGTTTCCTTAGTTTGGCTAAACTAAGATCTGACCTAAAGTCTGCAGGACTATATACTTATCTAAAAAATAGGATTACATTAATTGTTCATAATTGAATATCTCCAGTAAATCTAGGTCAACCAAGCTAACTTCCACAACTAAGTCATTTTAGAAGGGGGGAAAATGTGCATTGAGATTTGATTTGATTAACATATTATAACATAATTTTATCGCAAAAATTTAAATAAATAGTGACAATACTAAACAAGTTGCAAGATCCAAAGAATTGGAAATTCCTTGCATCTTGTCAACATACATGGCATTCACAAGATCAAGTAAACCTTTACAGGATGAAAACATAATTTAAAAACTCAGGTAGTGTTTAGAGCAACTCTGAAAACATGATTCCAGTGCATTTTTCAATGTTTTGTTTGGTTTAAGTTTTTAAAAATTAATTCTAATAAAACTTATTTCAGATTATGTTTGAAGCGCAGAGAGTTTTTTGAATTTTAAATTTTGAAAAGAGCGAATTGGGTTTACCTGGTCATTCTCCCAGACGTCTGGCCGGTTGACTGGAACAGTTTTTTTTTTTTTAGTGGGCAATTGGCGCCTATTATTTGAAAAAAAAAATGAGAAGTTGTGTTTGCTTTTTTTTAACAAAAAATAATATATATATTTTTATATTTTACATAAAAAAATATTTTCAGAATTTTTTCAAATTTTTTAAATAAAAAATTATTGTTATCAAAAATTATTTTTTTGAATTAAATTTTAAAAAGAGTTTGATTATGAGTTTTGAATATAATTTTGAGTTGTGTGTTTGGTTATGAGTTATAAGTTTTTGAATAAAACAACTTTTCTAATTTAAAAATTCATTTTAAAAATTTAAAACTCATAACCAAATAAATTTTATGTTTTTAAATCATAATTCAAAAATTTATAAATTTAAAATATAACTTCACACTCAAATTATAATTTTAAAACTCTGTTAAACGCTACCTGAGTTCTTTCTTGCCTTGTTTTATTTTATTCTTAGAAAAAATGTTCAATTCGCACAAAGACCCCCCGAATGAGCTGGCACTCACCCTTCTCTCTTTTCTCTTTTTCCTCTAAAACAGTAAACAATTGCTTTTTCTCTCTCACAGCCTTTGTCTTCTCTAAAAAATAGAGCTCTTTCTCACTCTCAAGACAATTATGAAGCAAGAGTAGTCCAAAAATGTTATCGTATAAGTACCGGGTACTTATCAGGTACGGATACGGGTACCCGTACCGATACGACTGCACACGTATCGGCCATGCCAAAAACGCACCGGGTACGTTTTATATGGTTAGTATAGTAATGGGTACGCCATGGGTGGGTACTTTAGGATAAAAAAACGAAATTTTTTATAAATTAAAGGGTATTGGAGCAATCTTTTGTGTCTATTTAAAAATTTATAAAAATCTGGGGTTCTTTTGTAATAAATAAAACATGAACCCAAATAAAATTAGGGTTCTATTATTCTATCAATCGATCATCTCATCGCCTTCCAGTATCTCCTTCCGAAATACTCCAAGACTGAAGAACGGTGCTAGGGTTCCATGTCTATTCGATCATCTCCTTCCAGAAATACTCCCAAGAGAGTCTGAAGAACACTTCGAAGGTGCGATTGAAAGGTTTAATCGAAGATGTTGCTGATTGATTCTCTCCTTCGAAGGTGTGATTGAAGAGGTAAGTTCATCTTCGATTCTTCCCCTCTTCTTCTTCGATTCTTCATCCTCTTCCTTTCATATTTTTGTGCTGTTTCTTCGCAGCAAACGATCGATTCTTCTCTTCTCTTCTCTTCTCTCTTTCTTTGATCCTTCTTCTTCTTCTTCTTCTTCTTCTTCTTCCTTTTTCTTGAACTCTCTTTTTTTTTTCCTTTCTTTTTTCTGATATATGTCCAGATTTTTGAACTAAGATCTGTCCAGATTATTAACTTTTTTTTCCTGATATATGTCATATATATAAATGCAATATGATACTTGTCACTTGAATATATATTTTATTCAATATATGCAATATATTAGATCTGTCCAAATTGTTATTTAAATATTTAAAAAGTTATATACTCGAATGAAGTGAAAAAATTCACAAATTATTTTGTTAATAGTTATATTACAGGAATATGACTTCATCAGGAAGTATAGCGTTATCATATTATAGTTTCATTAGGGTTATCTTTTATTTTTGTTTAGCGTGTTTTTGACATTAAACTCTCTTTTCTAATTTCTTCTTCTATTATATTCTATTTAATAATGACATTAAAACAGCTCATATGATTTAAAAGTTGTTTGGGATGTTCTAAATAAGTGCATTTTTTTTACTTTTCATAGAATATGGGTTGTACTTTTTTAATTTTCATAAAATATGGGTTGGGAGTTTGAAGTGATAGAGTAGAAGAGTGATGTGACTTAAATAAGATTACTGGAGTTAAATAGAACAGTGATTTTTTTATTTTATTTTATTTTATTTCTTTTGAAGATGCCAAACTTAGCCTTACTCTTTTTTTTTTCTTTTTTTTTTTGTAATTTCTCTTTTTAATTATGTTATTGAACTTTAATTGGTGTGTTGGATGTTTAGTTATAAAAAATTTTTAAAAAAAAATTGCCATACCTGTACATTACTTTTTTTTTTAATTTTTAATTTTCTGTATCGGCGTACCCGTATCGAACCCGCACCCGTGCTTCCTAGCAAGACAACTAGGGTTTCGAGTTAGGCTTCCATTTCTGTTTGAGAATCATAACTAACTATTGCTTCCTAATTTCTTATTCTGTTAGGTTTAAATAAACCCAACCCACTAACTAAAGTCAAGAATCATGCAAACTTACCGGGTGAGTTTTATGTACGTTGATATTTCTTTATTATTATTATTATTATTATTATTATTATTATTATTGTTCCATGAGTAATTTTATCTCTATCCACCATTGTTGTTGTTTTTTTTTTGAAGGCAAGCTTCGGAGGTACGATTTGGATTAAAGGCGACATTTCTCAGGCTACAGAGGTGTATTTCAATGAGAAAACGCCATTTCACCTCAAAAAGTTTCCATTGGATGAAGAACCAAAGAAGATAGTGAAGGCTTTAAGGGAGAATTGGCACCCCAACTTTGCCAACATCTCCCCAATTTTTCAGGTTCTCCCTCTTCCTTCTAGTTGTTTATTTTCTTTTTGTTTTTTAGTTTGGAGATTTTTGTTTATTTTTTAATTCATTACAGCCTTCTAGTTAAATCTATGCAATATTTTTGTCATTAAATGGTTAATATAAATGTATGATTTAGAATATAGTTTGGTTTAAGGGTAATGGTTTCTCATTATGAAAAAAATTATTTTAAAAAATTATTTCTTCTTGATCACACTCATCCTTGACGATACTCAGTTCATATATTCTCTCAAAATCTTCCTGGAATAAGCCAAAAAAATTGAAAATAAGGACAATTGAAGCATGTTAACAATTCACCTCATAAATGCTTGTGCAAAGTGAAACAAATTAGGAGAAACACCACGACTGCAGGTACAAAAATTAGGTTAATAAAAATATATTAGAAGATACGTATATGATGACAAAATACATGAGTGATGCATGTAAAAGAGAATAATCACATACTAGTGTGTAAAGCAAGGGAAAAATTATCCACTAGCAACCGGCAATGATTAGGTGTGCAGTTTTGGCAGTTGAACATAAGTTACCCCAACTCAGCCCATTATATTTTAGGGCATGGACTTTCTTTTTAGTCTTCAGGCAACGGATGGGGCAACATTAATTCAGGCCAAATTAATTTTCAATATAATGTTCTTACCCTTGTCCAATAAAATTTGACAAAAAATAATCTACATACAATATGCAAAATTGATTAGCCAAGAATACTGGGGCTTGTCACACCAAATCACCCCTCCATCATCAACCTATATAGCCCATTGTTTTCTAAAATCACTATTCCCATTCATCTCCTCCCCACCATGATGACAAATCGAAACACACCCTCAAACAACCCACCACCATTGGGACCACTCCTCTTCCTCTCAACCTCATATCCACCATTACCAACACCGAGTCAAACCATTGATATTGCTCAACCATCAGAGATGCCACGTCATCAAACCCATCACCAAACAACAATGCTACATACCAAGAAAAACTATTCAGAATAGTACACCTATCGACTAAATTTAGTGGAAGTGTGGCCCACATCCCATTAATTTTAAATCTACACCATCCACTTCATTTTTAGGGTAAACTTTCATGGTCCCTAGCATTTTATACCATATCACAAAAGACAACCTCGTGCCATACTTTTTCTATGTTGATATGATATGGATATCAACCTAGCTTTTGGCAACAACCAACCCACACATGCCTAATCTTAATATCACTGCCACCATTTCACACTATCTGCCCATTAAAAGATGTGTAATTCTCTTAGGTTGAACAGATTTTTTTGCTAAATAAACTATTTTTCAATAGTTAATTGATCTCTCCATCAATCTTAAAGACACTTCATTATTTGAATCAACACACATTAAGTCAAGAATGCCTTGTCAACTCTAAAGACTAAACTCTTATCAGTACTCATTCATAAACAAGCTCATCCATATCCACACACTGTAACGAATCACTATCAAATCCATAAGTTGTTCAACATAAAGATGAGACTGCAGTAATGATTAAAACACAGAATATTGATGCAGAACTCTAATAAGTGTGTTTCGTTTGAGTTTTTTGGATTAAGTTTTTTGAAAACTCAGTTTTTTGGTTTTCGTGTTTTTTTTGTTTTTAGTGAATATTTTTAAAATTTTAAACATTTTTTTTACCTTTTTAGATGCACTTTACTTAGATGTATCTAAAAAGTAAAAAATTTGTGAAAAAATATTTTAAAAATTTAATAAATACATAAAAATACAAAAAATGTACTGAATTCTCGTGTTTTTTTTGTATTTCTGGTATTTAGTAAATTTTAAAAAGGTTTTTCTCGCAAATTTTTTACTTTTTAGGTATATTTATTTTAAGTATGTCTAAAAAGTAAAAAAAAATTACTTAAAATATTAAAAAAATTCAATAAAAACAAAAAAACACGAAAAACAAGAAAGTAGAATTTTCTGAAAAGTGTTTTTGGAAAAACACAACCAAGCAAGCTAAAACTACTAAAACCAATAGCCACAGAGAATTGACCATGCGTACATGAAGGAAGAATTTACCATATCAAAAACACTCAACACAAATATGACGACAACATTAAAATAACTTTCGCGAACGATATTGTAAGCACTCTCTGGGAGTAGTTTTTCGAAAGTACAGAAACCAACATAAGACATCGCTTGTAAGGTTAATGCTGCAACAACCTTTGCAATCATGAACAGCCAATTGGAATCTCCTCCTTCCATTGCTGAGGACGGAAATGCCTAAAAACAGAATTGATAAATTCAGATACTGAAAAGCTAATGCACAGAAAACAAGCTGCCTTACAACCAAAAAAAAATGTTAGGGAAATGTTAGGGAAGAAGGAGGTGGTTTCGTAACCAAATAATTAAAAATATTTTAGAACCTATATATGAAAATAAAAGATGTCTAAAATTGACATAACTATTGAGGTATTAAGTTGATGAGTCATACAATGAAATTGTGAGAGTGATAAGCATGACCTAAGAGTTACAATAAAAGTGTCGAATTATTAGTTTGGATTCATGCCCTATAGATCAACAATGAAAGCAACATATTTACTAAGAAATTTAATAGAGAAGAACACAGAGTAAGTTCTACATAGATTTAGCAAAAGTTTATGAAATGGTCTTAGAGATATAATATGGTAGATGTTAAGAGAAAATATGTTATCAAAGGCCATGGGTAGAGCCATGAGTTCAACATTGGAGGGGCCAAAACCTACAATATTGAATGCCATGCTAGGGCGAAGTGGGGTTTTAATGGGTCGTGTTGACTTTGCAATAAATTTTAATTTATCTAATGATAATTAACATTATTCAATGTGTTGTACTCAATGTTGTTAAAATCGGGATCCTAGTTAGGTTCGATGAGAGGGTCTCGAGGATCGTAAGATCCTACTTTCGATTAAAATAAGGTAACAATACAAATTAGAATTATATATATTAAAAATAAGGTGAAAAATCACAAAATCAACGATCCTACTTCCGATCTTTCCTACAATCTTGCACGATTCAATACAATCCTACTTGCGATCCTATTATAACACCGATACTACAACGATCTAGATTACTTTAGCAATGTAGGATTGCAGGATCGTACAATCCAGATCACGATTTTAACCACTAATGTTGCACTACACATTTAAGCACATGAATGCTAATCCAATAAATAATATCAATATATCAAATTTCATAATTTTTTTTAAATGATTAAAAAAAATAAAACAATGGTGTTTCTTTAATCTTGTATATCCACTAATGAATTGAAGAAAAAAATATATAGTGGGAAGCCAAGAAGCTCAGACACATGTAAAAGGGTGGCATGTCTATGTCAGACACCAACACTCTCAAACAAGTGTCTGATACTCTTTTCTCCCTGTCCTTAATTAAAAATACAAACCTAAATATTGGACGTGTCTGACACTCATTTTGTGGCGCGTTTGTCACTTTTTGGACATTTGCTAACATATAGTTTTCAAAGTCAGAAAATTTAACATAAATATCTTATATCCTTAAAAAAAATTATAATTATCAAAGTATATAAAATAAATTACGAAACTCAAGGTGTTTGACATCTCACAAGGCGAGGCACAAACCTTAAAGCGTTGAGGCTTAAGCATTTCGAATTTTAAATTTCAATACTTAGTAAATAAATAAAATATTTTAAATAGTAAATAAATAAATAAAAATTAAATGAGTGTAAATACTTTTCTCCTCAAGTTATTGAACATCTCAATGCATAGAAGGAAGCTTGCTTTCACTGAAAGTGAATTTGACATTACTGACTCTAGTGATTGAACTTCTCACTTGAGCATTAACTTCGTATTTTTTCTTAATTGATCATTTACTCCTACTATGGAAGAAGACAATTGCAAAAAGGAATCTTTTTTTAATTTTTTCCTTTATACGCTTAAACCATCTACTAGACTATGTTTAACAAGAGCCTAAGGCAACCTTTTCAAGCTTGTAATCCTCATATGCACGTACACATGCCTCATACTATGATGTGAAAGACTTTGGGGAGTATAACTTAAAAATCAAAGCCTTGATGCATTTTATTTTACCTAGCCTCTCAAGGCGAGGAGAGGTGAGTATCGAGGCAAGCCTCAGTAAAGCCTTTTAAAACTTTGATAATTATTAAGAATAATCCTAAAAAAACTTCCCAAAAATTAAAATGAAAAAGATACCTAAAAGTATTAGTAGATGGCTAAGGCGGATAAGGCAAATGTCATAATTATATATCATATATATGTTTGCTATAGTCCAAAAATTCATGCAAGAGAACTAGATACGTGATTATTTCTTATAAAATAATTATTTAACATAATATATATTATGCACATTCATAGATAACTATATAATATATTCCTAGACAATATAATATCAAGATATAATTATTTGTGGCGTGACGTGACCCAAACTAGTTTTACAAATTTTCTGTATCGATGTGTTTTTGTCATGTTGTATCCGTGTCTATGCTACATAGGTGAGGAGAAACAATGTAGAGAGAGAGTGGAGAGAGAGTATACCAAGTAAAGATGAAGAAGAAACTAGGTGAGTGAGTATTCTATTGGAGAGAATCAGCTAGTAGACCAAGCAAAGTACAAAAGCCAAGAGACTTTGAGCGTGAAAACAGTTTCTGACATGAGATTTGGAATTGCCTTGTTACAAAATTACCCTAATCGAGATGAAGTCAAAATTTTTTATGATGTTATTTATCAAAAAAATAATAATAATTTATTTATGATGTTATGTAATACTACGAGGCAATGAATATAGTTGTCAATAAACAAGTGAAGTTCAGAATCATGTAAAATGTAACTAAAGAGACTAACCTTTTTAAAAATTTAAAATTCAAAATTTTAAGTGATGCAGTGACAACCAATTTCAGGTTGGGGGGCCAACTTTACTAGCCAACTAAACATCAATCCAGTCCACGTATTTATGTAAATGATAAAAAGTTCACTGTCAAAGGGTATTTTATTGCAATAAAAGACTTTGGGTTACAATTACAATTAGATCACCTGCCGGATAACAAGTGGATTCTAAAGCACTACAGGATTGCATTAAGGGTCAATTTGAGTCTTCACCTATTTGCCTAAATCATGGATGAATTTTTGAAACACATTAAAAATGATGTCCCATGGTGTATGTTGTACCAGATGATATTTTTTTAGTGGATCAAACTTAAGGAAGGAATTAAACCTAAATAGAAATCTTGAGAGAAACATTCAAGTCAAAAGGTTGAAATTAATACATCTAAAACCGAATATATGGAATGCAACCTTGATAGCAATAGAAGCAAAATAGAGGCAAAAAGAAAGAGTGAACATTTTCATAAGCTAGGATCAATTTATTAATAAAGACGGAATGGTTAGAGATGATTTAAACCAGAGAATCAAAGTACGTTGGTTCAAGAGTGCTACCGACTTGTTATGTGATCAACGAATACCAACAAATTAAAAAGAAACTTTATAAAACATCTATAAGATGAGCAATGTTTCACGGGACAAAATTAAGAAACAACACATTCATAAAATGAACGTAGATGAGAATGTTTAGATTGATGTGTGGTAAGACTATAAAAGATAGACTTAGAAATAATGTATTCGTAAAAAGCAAGAATAAGCACCAATTAAAGATAAAGTTGAAAGAAAACAAATTAAGATAGTTTGGTTATGTACAACAAATATTTTTAAATGCAATGATAAGGAATATTAATAAGATCACCATAAATGAAAATGTATGAGAGAAAGGATTACCTCAACTGACATGAAACCAGGAAGTAAAGAACAGATGCGAATTTATTTAATTAATTGAGCATATACACTGTGATAGAGCGAGGACTGGCAAAAAAAAGGAGATTTGCATGGCCTGCTCCACATAATTGTGACACAAGGCTTCGTTAGGTTTGGTTTGATTATGTTTTTTTGAAAAGAAATAAGTTACCAGAAGTGATTATCAAATTACATCATGATCTAGAACTTCATAATGTCAAAACTAAAGAGAAAATGAAACAAAACCATAATATTCCCCATGATCATAAATTAGAATTCAAAATAAATATAATATTTCCATCTTATAATCAAAACCAAAGTATATTGCATGCATAACAACTGCAATCAATCTACTCTTGCAATAGCTTGCTCGGGGGATGAAAGATTCTAATACCTCATAGGCTTCCCTTTCTCTGTCACAGTAATAATCCTTAGGCCTGCCCTTCCTAAAACTCTAAAATAGCAATAAAAGAAGTCAGAAGCACCTAATGAAAGTTAGGTTGCAGCAAAACTATTAATAAGAAACTAATGCAAAAATGAATAATTTACCAACCAAGTCAATCAAATGGCTATCTTCTTCCTTTTTCCGATAAGGTTGCAACAACAAATAGACCTATCTAGTTATGCTGTCTCTCCATTCAGTCTTTGATATTTCACTGTCCTTTCGCTTTCCAAGAAGGATCTCACATTCTTCAAGTGACAACGCCTAAAAAAAGTCAGAGACGCCAAGAGAGAAAGAGAGGGAGGGAGTGAGTGAGAGAAGATGAAATTCTCATACAGGGAATATATTCAACACTCTAAAATGAACCAATACCCTTGCTATATCTTCTTTTTCTGGAACGTTTGTACCATAAATATCTCGATTAACTGCTTGGTGAGCCTTCTCTCGTTTAGACACAATTAGAGCAGCATCCCTGTTTTAGGATTGAGTATATAAAAACAGTTGAGCAAGAGTGAAACTTAATCCTCAAAACTCCACAATTATAAGCATTGTTTCAGGTGCAACATTACTAAAGGCTCTCAAGAAGTCAATTCACTTGTCTTGAATCATGACAACCCTTTTTTCTGACTTCAAGCTATATGTATTATGTACATTCCTTTATTGGCAAAACAAATAGATCAACCCAACTCATTCGTGAACAAGCAGAGATGACATAACCGTATGAGTTTAATGGGTAGTCATTTCCCCAAGAACTACTAACCCAATCAAAATAAGCAAATATGAAACCACTGAGCTAATAATTGAACATAAACTAAGATTCTATTAATGCCTAAAAAAAACAATTTAAAAAAAAAGCACCATCCAAACTAATTGTCCCATTTCTTGTACAAACCAGACGATGAATATCATAATCACAAGAAATAATATGTAAACACGTGGAGCAAATCACATTCCAATACCAAATTTGGAATAACTTGTAATGGTATCACAAATTGTAAAGATCACGACCATTCATGTTCTGTTTTGATTTTATAACTAGATTCAGCATCATTCTCATTTGTTCCATATTGTGTCCTTGCAAACAAAATTAGAAACAACTATGGCCATTTCTATCTATTTAATATTTGTACGCCGTAACTTATGTAATAGCATTGCAGAGAATGACACTAGTCTTCTGAAATTCTCAAATTCATGCTCTTACTATGGTACATCTCAACGTGTCATGTAAGAACCAAGGGCACTTCTAAGAAGGTAATGTGTCATGTCAATGTCCAACACAACATTACACTCATCAAATACTTCCCAACACTTAGAGACGCATGAAACACAATACAAGTTTGAATAAAATAACTTGAAATTCAATAATATATTGAAAACAATTTAATTTATGCCTATTTTTCACCTTTAGACTTTAAAAATTATTAGCTTTGACTTAAATTTATTTATCCTCATATATATGACACATATGACATACAACAAGTATATAGAATTATATATGTTGCATATGTTGTGACCTACATTATTTTTAAATTTTTGTATCGGTGCATCGATGTCATGTCACAAACATTGTGGCCTTGTTTGGTTTGCTTTTGAGAAACAAATTTTGGAGAAAAATTTTAAAAATTTTATTTGGTTTAGTGATTTTGAAAAAAAAAATTTCCAGAATCAATTTCTATCTCCTACACATCAATCAATCAGTTTTTCTCTCTCCTCTCTCATTCTCAATCACTTTTTCTCTCATACACATCTACTCAAAAACAACAAAATATCAAATCATTCCAAATTTTCACACTGCAAAACTATTTCCAAAACATACAACCAAACAAACTAAAAAAATTTCTAAACGCTTTTCCTAAGATTTTTTTTGAAAATTTATCACCCAAAATCAAACCAAACACACCGTGCTTGTGTCTCTGCTTCTTAGATTATCCCAATATTTCATAATCCATAGTAGGCATTTGCATTGACTCAAATAAACTCTCCTGCTCTGTCATATGGAATTTGAACCAAAACTCCATTTAAAATTCATTATTTCTATGTCATTGACCTTTTCATTTGAGTATTTCAATTTACATCTCCAACCTATTCTTTCTTTTTGTTTTTCTCTTTTTTATACCTTTTTCATGAACGAAATCCGCATATTTTCACATCTAGGATGTACATATATCACTATTATTGAAAAAAATTATTGTTGCAACTGAAACTAGAACATAATGATAATAAAAATAAGATAACTGCTAAGGCTCACCATCCATCCCAAACGTAATCGACCTTCCTGCTTCAAACGGGGAAATACCCACGGAGGACATCATCGTCGTCGTCACCAGAAAACTCCATACTATAGTGACGCTTCAAACGGATCTAGGGTTTCTCTTTGTTTTCTTTTTCACTAAACTCTCGAATTATTATATTATATTGACAGATAGAAGAAGAAGAAGAAGATCAATCAGATGATCGGCCAAAAAGAGGAGGAGAGAGACTAAAATAAATCGGGGATTGGGGTTGGGGTTGGGGAAAAATTAAAAACCTATTCCTCCTCACTCCATTGCCATCCCTATTTTTTTTGATTCAAAGGAAAGAAAAATGTTAAAACACCATTATAGCAAACACATAAAGGGGAATGTTAATGTTATCATTACAGAAAGTTAGTCCTTCATAGCAGGGACTCCAAGCATATCATCTATGAGAAAAGCAGTAGCTTCAGTTGGGGGGTCCTCAAGGATCAGAACATGTTCAGATTGGGCAACACCCAGATTAGCTAACAGATCAGCTACTTTGTTTCCCTCTCTGAATGTGTGGATAAGGGAGCAGTTACACCTCTGCAGGAGGAACTTAGCATCCTCAATGAGAGCCTTAAAGGGAGAGTTTGGAGTTGGACCATGCTGGATTTGTTGTATGGCCTGCTCTGAATCCGTTTCTATCATCACATTTGTGGTTCTTTTCTGGAACAGAATTGTTAGACCTCTATAGATAGCCCAGATTTCTGTCCGTCTTATGCGACCGCCTCTTCTATTTGCCCAAGCCCGACCAAATTATCTAAACTTTTCCCTTCATCACCTCATTAATTCACTAATACAGTAGTTACATATTTATGATATTTTTATATCAGAGTAATTTTTTTAAAACTATTATGCTGTGTTTGGTTGCTGTGTTTGGTTGGAGGATTTGGGGAGGGATTTGGAAAGGGAAAGGGAAAGGGTGTGTGAAACTATGTGAAATGTAGGTATATTTTTTTCACATTTCACCTACTTTTTCCATTTCTCTTTCCAAATCCCTCTTCAAATTCCTCAACCAAACACAGCATTAATGAAATGGTTTATATTAAATAGTTTAATAGTTAAGATTGTGTTATATGATGATACATAAATTATAATGATATAAAAACAATAATAGGCTTCGTTTAGCATGAGTTATTTTGGCTAAATTAGCTAATAAAATCAAAACATATTAATTTAACCAATATGATAAAATGTGATGTCCAAACCATAAACATTTCACTTTTTCTCCCATAATTATCAAATCAACTATAAAAAAAAAAAAGTTAAAATTTATCTTGAACACAATTTTTTTAGCGAGAATAAAAATAACCAAAAAGCCAAGCTATTCATCCCAAACGAGGGATAACTATTAGTAGTTGACCCACTAATCTTTTTTTTAATAATATTTTTTTTTATGATGTGTGTTACAAAAGAATAATATTAATTTAATTTTAAAATAAATATGGTTATAATAATTTCTTTTCATAATCTTAATCATATTGTTTCAGAAGAGTGTTATTTAAATATTTATATATAATATTTCTAGTTAATTTTTTTTTTGGATATTTTTATAATTTTATAAAAATGTAATCATCAAATAATGATTTTATATAATATTTATTAAATTATAAGATAATTATCATCATACATATTGTATAATGATATATAAAATTTAAATTAAATATAAATATTTCATAATAAAGATTTCATATTAAATAGAAAACTAAATATCAAAATTTGGGAAAATCAATAATACATCCTCTATATGTAGAAAGTCTATAATAGTTAGAGTACTGGCAAAACATACAGGAAGTTAAAAGTCCCTAAACTTTTAGGCTCCGTTTGGTAAGATTTTTTGACTATGATTTAAAAATATGAGTTGCATTTTGAGTTTGTGTGTTTTGAAATTATGATTTGAGTGTAGAAAATTTGTTTAGTTATGATTTTTGAATAGATTGTTGAATTGGGTTTTGAATTGAATGTGGAATTGAGTTTTGAAAGTTTGATTTGACATGTGAAGTAAGAAAATTTGTTTGGTTATGAGTTTTGGAAAGAGTTTTCAAAACTTAATTCAAATTGTTATAACTCATAACAAAACACATTACTTTCACACTATTAAAAATTTTGATCAACACTCATAACCAAACTCTTTTTAAAATTCAATTAAAAAAAATTATTATTAACAGAAAATAACATTAATCAATTTTTTAATTAGAAATACTACAAAGGAAATAATTTTCAAAATAAATATTCAAAAAATTTAAATCATAAATATTTAAATAATTTAAATAATCTAAAAAATTTAATAAGTAAAAAGTTAAAATAAATATTCAAAAAATTTAAATCGTAAAAATTTAAAGAGGATTTACATACAAGTCTCATTTTGTGAACTTATAATCCATTAAGTCCTAGATAAAATTATTTGCTCCTTCAAGTCTCATTAATTTTTAATAAACTAATTTACCGTTCCAAGACCTCCTCCATAGCTGTCAAACATTCATTGCTGTACTTCATTCCCTCTCTCTTACTTTTACTCTCTCTCTCTCTCTCTCTCTCTCTTAGCCGAAAACACGTCGGTTCTACGAACTATATTGCCTGAAGCTCGACATCACGACATCTCGAACCAGATCTAGAAATGAATCAGACTTTGAAGGAATCTCCCCAAAGCCCTCACCACTGCAATCTCCCACCAGTGGCCATAGATTCTCGTTGCTGAGATTCTCTGACAGCCATAACAGCTTCCCTTTCTTGTAATCGTTTCTTCCTTAAACGATTTCGACTCCGTCAGCCCAATCCACTCAAGGCTGGATCATCATCATCGGCTCACTCGCCATGGCTCTCTCTCGGAGATGATCACATCAAACTAATCTCTCTCTCCGCAGTTTGGGTGTTGAAAAATGTAAAGAGGAGACACAAACAGACACACACAGGGGGGACTGATCTCTCTCTCCCTCTAGGTTATATCTCCCTCTCTCTCTCACTTTTCACCCACTATTCCACTACCTCACCTTTATTTTCATTAGTAAAATGGTGGTCTGGGCAGTGGATGAGAGAGTCTCTTCGTTCTTTCACAGACAATTCCCAAACACGTCCATTACCTCACCTTTATTTTCATTATTATAAAGCTCTATTGATAAGCTCCTTTTCCAGCATGTTCTCACTCTCTTCATTTTTTTTTTTTTTTTTTTTTATATATGTGTATATACATTTTTTTTATTATAATATATTATATCAACATACCAACCCACAGTTTTAAATTTGGAGGATGATCTGGTCCATTGATACTTGATAATAAAGTCAGTTTATTTGTTTGTTGATTTATTTGAATCATCAGTGTGTTTAGTTTTATAATTTTAAAATTGAAAAAATGATAATATTCTCAGTTTTAATATTGAAAAAAAAATTGAAAATTTTCTCAATTTTACTAGATATTTTTGAAAAATTTATCAATTTTTTTCATGATTAAAATTAAGAATATTATAAATTGAGAATGTTCTCAATTTCAAAACAGAGAATAATTTCAGTTTATAAAAAATAATAAATTTCTCAAATTTTTTTCTAAAAATATTGTCAGTTTTAAGAATTTTTTCAATTTTTTTCATGATTAAAAATGATAATATTATAAACTGGGAATGTTCAAATTGAAAACAAGAGAAGATGAGAGAGAAAGCTAGAGAGAGCAAGCCAATGATTTTGATCAATTCAAGAGACAGTGAGGATTTGATGCTCTCAATCAAAACTGCCTTTTGCCTTTTGCCTTATATGTAGTAAATTTTTTGTGTTTTCTCAATCACGTGATTGTTTGTAATAACGTAGAAGTTGAGGTGTTGCCAAATGTTGGAGGAGAGAGTTGGAGAATAATAAATATTGGTAGTAATAATTAACGAGGGGGGAAGGGTTTGGCTGTTAGGCACTTTGCGAGGGCGAAGGGTACCAGTCAGTCACACACAACCCAAACCAATCACAAAAGAAAAATATATATATAACTGTTTGGATTAAAGGGTAAAAATGTCTTCTTATTTATAAATAGGACTTATTGGTTCAAAAACTTTTAGATAGGACCTAAGCTACCCCAAAATATGGAGATAGGACTTTTAGGTAATTAACTCAAATTTAAATAATTTAAAATTTTAATATTTTAAATTTAAAAACAACTCTACTCTCAAATCGTAACCAAACACATAAAACAAAACTCAATTAAGAAATTATTTTTAAAACTGATAACCAAACACATAACTCGAAACTTCATACTACTTTCACAACTCTACACTCAAATCGTAACCAAATACATAACAAAAAAATTAAAATATTTAAAAATATTTTTATAAAATAGAGTTTGAATTTATTTTTATAAAATATTTTAAAATTTAAAAAATTAAAATCGTAATATTTTAAAATTAAAATATTTAAAAATATTCAAAAAATTAAAAAATTAAAAAAATCGTAACATATTTAAATATTAAAATATTTGAAATATTAAAAAAATTAAAATATTGATTTGAATTGAGTTTTGAAAAGAGTTTTGAATTATGTGTTTGGTTATGAATTTTGAAAAGTAATGATTATGTTTTGAATTGAGTTTTGAGAAATGTGTGTAGAATTATGATTTAAAAGCTTAAAACAAACACCACATTCAAATCAATGGGTGGAACTATAATTTAAGAGGCTTACCAAACGGAGTGTTAAACTTTAGAAGATAAGGTCTACGCTCCAGGCGATTCTACCACAAAATATTCGTTGGGCACCCTTTTTTTTTTGGAAAAAAAAATGTGTTTTGTTTCAATTTTTTAAAAATTAAGGTTTTGTTTTTCGTATTTTTTTTTTATTTTTACTGAATATTTTTAAAATTTTAATAATTTTTTTTTGTTTTTTTAGATATACCTTACTTAAATATATCTAAATAACAAAATATTTGCGAAAAATATTTTAAAAAATTAATAAATACACAATAATACAAAAAATGTACTGAATTTTCGTATCTTTTTATTTTTATATTTTTGGTATTTAATGATTTTTTTTTTTTAAATTCACAAATATTATACTTTTTGAGTATATTTATGTTAGGTGTGTCTAAAAATTTAAAAAATTGCTTAAATATTAAAAAAATAGTAAAAACGAAAAAAAAATACAGAAAACGAAGAAGTATAATTTTTTAAAAAGTGAATTCTAAAAATAGAAACCAAACATATCATTTTACCCATATACAAAATGATGAAAAGGGTCACAAATAAATCCTAATTCCAGCCAACACACCCTAGGTCCGGTAGACACCACCCAGCTTCGCCCACTCTAGACTCTTTCCAATTGCTTCCACCACCTACTTCATTCATCGTCGCTGGCGCAACCACTGCTAGTTCTTCGTCCCATCGCCTTGCATCCACTACCACATTCTCCTTCCATTAATGCCACCTCCATCTCCTCTATTTCCTCTTGTTGCCGCCGCCATCTCATTCGCCACTGTGACCCTCTTCTCTGCCGTGAATCTCCAATAGATATCTGAGAAACTATATCATGGTGTACAAAATTGGAAACCTTTAGCCTCTTTCTACAAGAGGAATGGTCGTATTCATAAAGTTGGCTGTTTGAATAAAAAATATCTATTTCACTAATGCAAGGAGTTGAAGAGACCATGACTTGGAGAAGTCCTCGAAAGCAACCTAGGCTATGTTTTATAAATCACGAACTTGATGAATGTTTGGCACGGCAACGCACTGCACATATAAACTTTATGGGTCAAACAAAGCATAATGTAGGGTACACATTGAATGATGAATCACAAAACAAGTGTATATTCAATGTTGAAAATATAGTGCCAAAATGCCGATCCTAAAGTCAATTTTAGATTTGAATTTCTATAAATCGCTACCGATAGTTTGTCTATTAGCTCCGATGGCAGGCAGGTGAGGTTGGTAAGGTTGGAATTAAAAGGGGTGCTCAACAAAAAAGAGAAAAATTCAAATTTGACTTGGGGGTGTACAAAGGAATGGGATGCCCAACCAAATTATTGGGGTGCATTTAGAGCTACCCCCACACTCCATGTTTTTTTAGCTTTTTTGTTCCTAATTTGTCCCTATATTTAAGCTTATATTACTAGAAGCTTAAACATTTTACAAACAAAAGTGACTCTCGAACTATTTTCACTCTGTGTTAACCCTAATTTCCTGATCTTTCTTTCTACCTATTATATAACTAACGAAAGAGAGAAGAAAGAGACAGAGAAAGAAGTTTAGAAGTTTTAAGATGATAAAGTCATCAATAAAGCATTGCTGATCTGAAACATATGCAACCGCAGGAAATCGCTAATTTGCTCTGAACATTTTTTCTATGTTACAAAAGCTTTTCTATTTCTATTGAAGAAAAATGTGTTGGGCTCTTCTGGCACGTTTTGATTTAATAGTTATTTTTCCCATTAAAGATCAATTAATGAAATCATTGTCGATGTGAAGCCCCAAAAATTGAAGATATAATAACAAAGAAACACAGGGTTTTGATAAGGTTACACATCCAAAAGTAAATAATAGTGCATCAAAATTTATATATTATAGACAATGTTGCTCTTAAAAAATAAATTTTCAATAATGAGATGAAAAATCCGACGTTAGTCCACGCCTGGCACAGCTTCTTGATCTCTTCCACAAAATCTTCTACGTCGACAAATTCTCCAAAACCTGGAATCGGATGCCAAGGCAAAAGTTGTGAGTTACGCAACCTAATAAGAACACCCAACCCCAACTTTCTACAACCTCTGGATAATACGAACCAGTAGAAGTACAAAATATAATTACATAGGTAGAGAATTAAAGAGAAATACAAACAATTACAACAATACAGTCTTAAACAACAGCGATAAGTAACAATCAGTTATTAATATTTAACAATTAATTGCAACAGTGAAATCAAAGCCATTAGAGTGCCCCAAAGAGACCCATCAGTCCAACCTCTAGAACTAGACACCATACTATTTGAAACTCTCCCTTCTGCTACTTTGCAGACTTTACCACGAATGCTTGTAATGATTATATACCGGGCAATGCCATTGATGAACCTCAAACGGGATATAAAAAAAAAAAAGAAGATTTTATCATCCTGAACCCAACCTTATCCCTCAAAAACAAAAAGGTTTTACCCTCCTGAATGTCCCATTTGGACCCAACTTATCTCACCAGATCAAACAACCACATAGAGTCTGAATATGCATGTTCCATCATAGGGTTAACGCTACAACCACTTGCGCAAAACTTAACTCAAAGTGGATACGTTCCACCATCATTTCATTATCAAACCAACCATTATCACTTATCCTTTCAAATCATTACAAGTGAATGCAAACCCATTACCACCCGATTAAGTTTCTCATTTTTAAATTCATCAGGTTTTCGATTAAAACAACGAATAATTATAACAAAGCTAACCAAAGTCAAACATGAGACAACTAAGGCATGATAAATTAAGTTCATAAAATAAGCATATATAATATCACGAACCTATAACATACAAGAGAGATGATATAGAGGTGATAATCCATAATTAAGAACACTCTCCCACATAATTTCATATACTTTTTGGAAAAAAACTTTGAAGAATTATCTAGACTATTAAAAACCTTATTTTAGACTTTTATCAATTTTCATACATGCTATACATACACCAAATAATTTGTTATTTAAAAAATGCTGATTTCATAAATATTTGCTATTTTAATAATTTCTTCTCTTTTTTTTAACAATTTTTATAAATTGTAGCTAAAACTTACAATTAGTGACGTTTTTCTGTGATGAATTTTTGAAATTGTCGTCGAAATTTGAAAATTAGTGAATTTTTTTATGACGATTTTTTTAAACTATCACTAAAACCATAATTAGTGACAGTTTTTGTGACAATTTTTAAACTGTCACTGAAAATTAACAATTAATGACATTTTGTAATAATGTTTGATGAAAAACGCTATTAATTATCATAGGACCTATTAAGACCTACACATAAGTCCCCCCAAAAAATAACACTTCAAGAACTCCAAGAAAATCAAAGGAATATGACAATGTTTTTAACGTTACATTGAGCTCGATAAAAGTATGGATAAATCATCACATATAATAGATAAAAGTATAGGTAAATCATCTCATGCCTCAAATCATTGATAAATATCCATATGTCAAGGTATGTTGTGCTCAAATATAATTGTTCTATGCAATTTTAGAATGATAGTTAACATGATTTCATTTAGAGCTATGCATTGTACCATGGATACTTCTAATAAGGTAAAGTGTCATGCCCAACCCACATCGCCTCCCTCAGTGAATCTTGACTCCCCTTACTCAACCCCAACATTGTGTTCATTTGGGTACCTATCATCTCATGAAGATAATAAGTATGAATGCAAATAAATAAGTAAAGTTCTCTAGAAAATTTTACAACAAAAGAATATGTTTAATAATTATTTATCAATTACACCAATACCAATAGAACCAACAAAATGGGAATAAAGTGCAAAGTAATAATTGAAAGTTACATGATTTGTTTTCTTTGGCCATTCATTCTTTATTGCTCCCCCAATCCCACCATACCCCAATTTGATTTTAATAAACCCAAAGCATGATATAACCCAATTTGATATAAACATGAAGTATGATTTCAATGAACACCAAGTATGATTGTGTAATTTGTGGCCGTTGGTCCACTTTATATCAATGCAATTTTTTTTCCAAGAATATAAAATAATTTTTTTTTTTTAAAAAAGAAGTACAATACTTGCAAGAAAAAAGAAAATATTTCACACCTACGAATTTATTTGACATAATTCCCTAGAGATGTATAGTCAAGTTAGGCAACCAACCAAAAGAAATAGCAACTTGCTTCATCATCAAATCTCTCTAATCAAAGCTCTCTAAATAACAATGAGCAACATTGCTTCAAGTCATACAACCAAACAATAATGGATTTGCAAGGTTTTTAAGGAGTTTCACTTCTTCCTCAACCTTTCTAATGTGAGCTTATTAAGAAAATTTAAAGAAAAACAAAATTGATAAAGCAATCCAGTCAAGAAGATAAAACCATATCAAATATATAGTACCACAAACACAAAACTAGTGTTTGGTTAAAGTAATCAATAACATGTTTGTAAGAATTCATAACATAAATGTAATAAAGCAATTAAATTGGACATCAAAAATACCTGTGTTTTCTCTCTTGAAGCACTACTGAGTCTTGGCAGCAATTGAAACCTTCATAGATATAGTGGCACCAAAATAGAAGCTATCAAAAAAAAAAAAAAAATTTAACGAAATCAATACCAAAAACAATTAAAGTTAAGAGACTTAGGGCAAGTTTGGCTACTCAAAATAAGTACGCACTTTTTATCTTTTTATCTTTTTTCCATCACATCACCTCTCTACTTTTCTGACATTATTAAGTCCCATTTTAAGCATTCAGATCGAGCATCCAAGTTAAACACTAAACCCCAAATTGAAAAGTCCCAAATTTTGAAATTGGAAAACCCTAGACCGTAATGTTGAAATTGAAAAGCCTCGAATCAAAACTCGAAACCCTAATATCTGAACATGGACCTGAAATTGGGTGGTGGGACGGAGAGGTGAGAGAGCTTCGGCCGGAGGGTGAGGGGAGACGGCTCCGTTTGCTTCGTTTGAGGGTCTTCGTCGAGTGGAGGGAGAAGCGAAGACGAACAGGGCTGCGAAGGAGGTAACTCTGAAGGACTGCTCTTCGCTCTCTCTCTTAGGGATGACAATGGAGTGAGGAGGAATAGGTTTTTAATTTTTCCCCAACCCCAACCCCAATCCCCGATTTATTTTAGTCTCACTCCTCTTTTTGGCCGATAATCTGATTGATCTTCTTCTTCTTCTTCTATCTGTCAATATAATATAATAATTCGAGAGTTTAGTGAAAAAGAAAACAAAGAGAAACCCTAGATCCGTTTGAAGCGTCACTATAGTATGGAGTTTTCTGGTGATGATGATGATGATGTCCTCCGTGGGTATTTCCCCGTTCGAAGCAGGAAGGTCGATTACGTTTGGGATGGATGGTGAGCCTTAGCAGTTATCTTATTTTTATTATCATTATGTTCTAGTTTCAGTTGCAACAATAATTTTTTTCAATAATAGTGATATATGTACATCCTAGATGTGAAAATATGCGAATTTCGTTCATGAAAAAGGTATAAAAAAGAGAAAAACAAAAAGAAAGAATAGGTTGGAGGTGTAAATTGAAATACTCAAATGAAAAGGTCAATGACATAGAAATAATGAATTTTAAATGGAGTTTTGGTTCAAATTCCATATGACAGAGCAGGAGAGTTTATTTGAGTCAATGCAAATGCCTACTGTGGATTATGAAATATTGGGATAATCTAAGAAGCAGAGACACAAGCACGGTGTGCTTGGTTTGATTTTGGGTGATAAATTTTCAAAAAAAATCTTAGGAAAAGAGTTTAGAAATTTTTTTGGTTTGTTTGGTTGTATGTTTTGGAAATAGTTTTGCAGTGTGGAAATTTGGAATGATTTGATATTTTGTTGTTTTTGAGTAGATGTGTATGAGAGAAAAAGTGATTGAGAATGAGAGAGGAGAGAGAAAAAGTGATTGATTGATGTGTAGGAGATAGAAATTGATTCTGGAATTTTTTTTTTCAAAATCACTAAACCAAATAAAATTTTAAATTTTTTTTTCCAAAATTTGTTTCTCAAAAGCAAACCAAACAAGGCCACAATGTTTGTGACATGACATCGATGCACCGATACAAAAATTTAAAAATAATGTAGGTCACAACATATGCAACATATATAATTTTATATACTTGTTGTATGTCATATGTGTCATATATATGAGGATAAATAAATTTAAGTCAAAGCTAATAATCTTTAAAGTCTAAAGGTGAAAAATAGGCATAAATTTAAATTGTTCTCAATATATTATTGAATTTCAAGTTATTTTATTCAAACTTGTATTGTGTTTCATGTGTCTCTAAGTGTTAGGAAGTATTTGATGAGTGTAATGTTGTGTTGGACATTGACATTACACATTACCTTCTTAGAAGTGCCCTTGGTTCTTACATGACACGTTGAGATGTACCATAGTAAGAGCATGAATTTGAGAAATGCAGAAGACTAGTGTCATTCTCTGCAATGCTATTACATAAGTTACGGCGTACAAATATTAAATAGATAGAAATGGCCATAGTTGTTTCTAATTTTGTTTGCAAGGATACAATATGGAACAAATGAGAATGATGCTGAATCTAGTTATAAAATCAAAACAGAACATGAATGGTCATGATCTTTACAATTTGTGATACCATTACAAGTTATTCCAAATTTGGTATTGGAATGTGATTTGCTCCACGTGTTTACATATTATTTCTTGTGATTATGATATTCATCGTTTGGTTTGTACAAGAAATGGGACAATTAGTTTGGATGGTGCTTTTTTTTAAAATTGTTTTTTTTTAGGCATTAATAGAATCTTAGTTTATGTTCAATTATTAGCTCAGTGGTTTCATATTTGCTTATTTTGATTGGGTTAGTAGTTCTTGGGGAAATGACTACCCATTAAACTCATACGGTTATGTCATCTCTGCTTGTTCACGAATGAGTTGGGTTGATCTATTTGTTTTGCCAATAAAGGAATGTACATAATACATATAGCTTGAAGTCAGAAAAAAGGGTTGTCATGATTCAAGACAAGTGAATTGACTTCTTGAGAGCCTTTAGTAATGTTGCACCTGAAACAATGCTTATAATTGTGGAGTTTTGAGGATTAAGTTTTACTCTTGTTCAACTGTTTTTATATACTCAATCCTAAAACAGGGATGCTGCTCTAATTGTGTCTAAACGAGAGAAGGCTCACCAAGCAGTTAATCGAGATATTTATGGTACAAACGTTCCAGAAAAAGAAGATATAGCAAGGGTATTGGTTCATTTTAGAGTGTTGAATATATTCCCTGTATGAGAATTTCATCTTCTCTCACTCACTCCTTCCCTCTCTTTCTCTCTTGGCGTCTCTGACTTTTTTTAGGTGTTGTCACTTGAAGAATGTGAGATCCTTCTTGGAAAGCGAAAGGACAGTGAAATATCAAAGACTGAATGGAGAGACAGCATAACTAGATAGGTCTATTTGTTGTTGCAACTTTATCGGAAAAAGGAAGAAGATAGCCATTTGATTGACTTGGTTGGTAAATTATGCATTTTTCCATTAGTTTCTTATTAATAGTTTCGCTGCAACCTAACTTTCATTAGGTGCTTCTGACTTCTTTTATTGCTATTTTAGAGTTTTAGGAAGGGCAGGCCTAAGGATTATTATTGTGACAGAGAAAGGGAAGCCTATGAGGTATTAGAATCTTTCATCCCCCGAGCAAGCTATTGCAAGAGTAGATTGATTGCAGTTGTTATGCATGCAATATACTTTGGTTTTGATTATAAGATGGAAATATTATATTTATTTTGAATTCTAATTTATGATCATGGGGAATATTATGGTTTTGTTTCATTTTCTCTTTAGTTTTGACATTATGAAGTTCTAGATCATGATGTAATTTGATAATCACTTCTGGTAACTTATTTCTTTTCAAAAAAACATAATCAAACCAAACCTAACTAAGCCTTGTGTCACAATTATGTGGAGCAGGCCATGCAAATTCCCTTTTTTTGCCATTCCTCGCTCTATCACAGTGTATATCCTCAATTAATTAAATAAATTCACATCTGTTCTTTACTTCCTGGTTTCATGTCAGTTGAGGTAATCCTTTCTCTCATACATTTTCATTTATGGTGATCTTATTAATATTCCTTATCATTGCATTTAAAAATATTTGTTGTACATAACCAAACTATCTTAATTTGTTTTCTTTCAACTTTATCTTTAATTGGTTATTCTTGCTTTTTACGAATACATTATTTCTAAGTCTATCTTTTCTAGTCTTACCACACATCAATCTAAACATCCTCATCTACGTTCATTTTATGAATGTGTTGTTTCTTAATTTTGTCCCGTGATGCATTGCTTATCTTATAGATGTTTTATAAAGTTTCTTTTTAATTTGTTGGTATTGGTTGATCGCGTAACAAGTCGGTAGCACTCTTGAACCAACGTACTTTGATTCTCTGGTTTAAATCATCTCTAACCATTCCGTCTTTATTAATAAATTGATCCTAGCTTATGAAAATGTTCAGTCTTTCTTTTTGCCTCTATTTTGCTTCTATTGTTGTCAAAGTTGCATTCCATATATTCGGTTTTAGATGTATTAATTTCAACCTTTTGACTTGAGTGTTTCTCTCAAGATTTCTATTTAGGTTTAATTCCTTCCTTAAGTTTGATCCACTAAAAAAATATCATCTGGTACAACATACACCATGGGACATCATTTTTAATGTGTTTAAAAAATTCATCCATGATTTAGGCAAATAGGTGAAGACTCAAATTGACCCTTAATGCAATCCTGTAGTGCTTTAGAATGCACTTGTTATCCGGCAGGTGATCTAATTGTAATTGTAACCCAAAGTCTTTTATTGCAATAAAATACCCTTTGACAGTGAACTTTTTATCATTTACATAAATACGTGGACTGGATTGATGTTTAGTTGGCTAGTAAAGTTGGCCCCCCAACCTGAAATTGGTTGTCACTTCATCACTTAAAATTTTGAATTTTAAATTTTTAAAAAGGTTAGTCTCTTTAGTCACATTTACATGATTCTGAACTTCACTTGTTTATTGACAACTATATTCATTGCCTTTAGTATTACATAACATCATAAATAAATTATTATTATTTTTTTGATAAATAACATCATAAAAAATTTTAACTTCATTTCGATTAGGGTAATTTTGTAACAAGGCAATTCCAAATCTCATGTCAGAAACTGTTTTCATGCTCAAAGTCTCTTGGCTTTTGTACTTTGCTTGGTCTACTAGCTGATTCTCTCCAATAGAATACTCACTCACCTAGTTTCTTTCTTCATCTTTACTTGGTATACTCTCTCTCCACTTTCTCTCTCTACATTGTTTCTCCTCACCTATGTAGCATAGACACGGATACAACATGACAAAAACACATCGATACAGAAAATTTGTAAAACTAGTTTGGGTCACGTCACGCCACAAATAATTATATCTTGATATTATATTGTCTAGGAATATATTATATAGTTATCTATGAATGTGCATAATATATATTATGTTAAATAATTATTTTATAAGAAATAATCACGTATCTAGTTCTCTTGCATGAATTTTTGGACTATAGCAAACATATATATGATATATAATTATGACATTTGCCTTATCCGCCTTAGCCATCTACTAATACTTTTAGGTATCTTTTTCATTTTAATTTTTGGGAAGTTTTTTTAGGATTATTCTTAATAATTATCAAAGTTTTAAGAGGCTTTACTGAGGCTTGCCTCGATACTCACCTCTCCTCGCCTTGAGAGGCTAGGTAAAATAAAATGCATCAAGGCTTTGATTTTTAAGTTATACTCCCCAAAGTCTTTCACATCATAGTATGAGGCATGTGTACGTGCATATGAGGATTACAAGCTTGAAAAGGTTGCCTTAGGCTCTTGTTAAACATAGTCTAGTAGATGGTTTAAGCATATAAAGGAAAAAATTAAAAAAAGATTTCTTTTTGCAATTGTCTTCTTCTATAGTAGGAGTAAATGATCAATTAAGAAAAAATACAAAGTTAATGCTCAAGTGAGAAGTTCAATCACTAGAGTCAATAATGTCAAATTCACTTTCAGTGAAAGCAAGCTTCCTTCTGTGCATTGAGACGTTCAAAAACTTGAGGAGAAAAGTATTTACACTCATTTAATTTTTATTTATTCATTTACTATTTAAAATATTTTATTTATTTACTAAGTATTGAAATTTAAAATTCGAAATGCTTACGCCTCAACGCTTTAAGGTTGTGCCTCGCCTTGTGAGAGGTCAAACACCATGAGTTTCGTAATTTATTTTATATACTTTGATAATTATAATTTTTTTTAAGGATATAAGATATTTATGTTAAATTTTCTGACTTTGAAAATTATATGTTAGCAAATGTCCAAAAAGTGACAAACATGCCACAAAATGGGTGTCAGACGCGTCCAATATTTAGGTTTGTATTTTTAATTAAGGACAGGGAGAAAGGAGTATCAAACACTTGTTCGAGAGTGTTGGTGTCTGACATAGACATGCCACCCTTTTACATGTGTCTGAGCTTCTTGGCTTCCCACTATATATTTTTTTCTTCAATTCATTAGTGGATATACAAGATTAAAGAAACACCATTGTTTTATTTTTTTTAATCATTTAAAAAAAATTATGAAATTTGATATATTGATATTATTTATTGGATTAGCATTCATGTGCTTAAATGTGTAGTACAACCATAGTGGTTCAAATCGCGATCTAGATTGTACGATCCTGCAATCCTACATTGCTAAAATAATCTAGATCGTTGTAGTATCGGTGTTATAATAGGATCGCAAGTAGGATTGTATTGAATCGTGCAAGATTGTAGGTAGGATCGGAAGTAGGATCGTTGATTTTGTGACTTTTCAGCTTATTTTTAATATATATAATTCTAATTTGTATTGTTACCTTATTTTAATCGAAAGTAGGATCTTACGATCCTCGAGACCCTCTCATCGAACCTAACTAGGATCCCAATTTTAACAACCTTGAGTACAACACATTGAATAATGTTAATTATTATTAAATAAATTAAAATTTATTGCAAAGTCAACACGACCCATTAAAACCCCACTTCGCCCTAGCATGGCATTCAATATTGTAGGTTTTGGCCCCTCCAATGTTGAACTCATGGCTCTACCCATGGCCTTTGATAACATATTTTCTCTTAACATCTACCATATTATATCTTTAAGACCATTTCATAAACTTTTGCTAAAGCTATGTAGAACTTACTCTGTGTTCTTCTCTGTTAAATTTCTTAGTAAATATGTTGCTTTCATTGTTGATCTATAGTGCATGAATCCAAACTAATAATTCGACACTTTTATTGTAACTCTTAGGTGATGCTTATCACTCTCACAATTTCATTGTATGACTCATCAACTTAATACCTCTATAGTTATTTCAATTTTAGACATCTTTTATTTTCATATATAGGTTCTAGAATATTTTTTAATTATTTGGTTACGAAACCACCTCCTTCTTCCCTAACATTTCCAAGTCTCAATAGGTATATAATCTTGTCCTAATGCCTTTCTTGATTTTATATTCTTTAGTGCAAAATCCACATCAAACTTCCTTAGTTGACGATAGAACTTATATTTTTTAGTTCCATCAATGCCAACACCCTCAAATCTTGCTCCAGCTCCCGCTCTCGCTCCCGCTTGGCAATTTGGTGACTTAGGTCAGACCCATCAATAGGGCATTTTATAAATTGGTTTTCTATGTAACATACAATGTCAATTTTATTATTTTTATTGGCAATTATACAACAATATATACATATAATAATAGCGTTTGATACAAACATTTTTTTTTGGCTGTAAGGCAGCTTGTTTTCTGTGCATTAGCTTTTCAATATCTGAATTTATCAATTCTTTTTTTAGGCATTTCCCTCCACAGCAATGGAAGGAGGAGATTCTAATTGGCTGTTCATGATTGCAAAGGCTGTTGCAGCGTTAACCTTACAAGCGATGTCTTATGTTGGTTTCTGTACTTTGGAAAAACTACTCCCAGAGAGTGCTTACAATATCGTTCGTGAAAGTTATTTTAATGTTGTCGTCAGATTTGTGTTGAGTGTTTTTGATATGGTAATCTCTTCCTTCATGTACGCGTGGTCAATTCTCTGTGGCTATTGGTTTTATTATTAGAGTTCTGCATCAATATTCTGTGTTTTAATCTTTACTGCAGTCTCATCTTTATGTTGAACAGCTTATGGATTTGATAGTGATTCGTTACACTGTGTGGATATGGATGAGCTTGTTTATGAATGAGTACTGATAAGAGTTTAGTCTTTAGAGTTGACAAGGCATTCTTGACTTAATGTGTGTTGATTCAAATAATGAAGTGTCTTTAAGATTGATGGAGAGATCAATTAACTATTGAAAAATAGTTTATTTAGCAAAAAAATCTGTTCAACCTAAGAGAATTACACATCTTTTAATGGGCAGATAGTGTGAAATGGTGGCAGTGATATTAAGATTAGGCATGTGTGGGTTGGTTGTTGCCAAAAGCTAGGTTGATATCCATATCATATCAACATAGAAAAAGTATGGCACGAGGTTGTCTTTTGTGATATGGTATAAAATGCTAGGGACCATGAAAGTTTACCCTAAAAATGAAGTGGATGGTGTAGATTTAAAATTAGCGGGATGTGGGCCACACTTCCAATGAATTTGGTCAATAGGTGTACTATTCTGGATAGTTTTTCTTGGTATGTAGCATTGTTGTTTGGTGATGGGTTTGATGACGTGGCATCTCTGATGGTTGAGCAATATCAATGGTTTGACTCGGTGTTGGTAATGGTGGATATGAGGTTGAGAGGAAGAGGAGTGGTCCCAATGGTGGTGGGTTGTTTGAGGGTGTGCTTCGATTTGTCATCATGGTGGGGAGGAGATGAATGGGAATAGTGATTTTAGAAAACAATGGGCTATATAGGTTGATGATGGAGGGGTGATTTGGTGTGACAAGCCCCAGTATTCTTGGCTAATCAATTTTGCATATTGTATGTAGATTATTTTTTGTCAAATTTTATTGGACTAGGGTAAGAACATTATATTGAAAATTAATTTGGCCTGAATTAATGTTGCCCCATCCGTTGCCTGAAGACTAAAAAGAAAGTCCATGCCCTAAAATATAATGGGCTGAGTTGGGGTAACTTACGTTCAACTGCCAGAACTGCATACCTAATCATTGCCGGTTGCTGGTGGATAATTTTTCCCTTGCTTCACGCACTCGTATGTGATTATTCTCATTTACATGCATCACTCATGTATTTTGTCATCATATACGTATCTTCTAATATATTTTTATTAACCTAATTTTTGTACCTGCAGTTGTGGTGTTTCTCCTAATTTGTTTCACTTTGCACAAGCATTTATGAGGTGAATTGTTAACATGCTTCAATTGTCCTTATTTTCAATTTTTTTGGCTTATTCCAGGAAGACTTTGAGAGAATATATGAACTGAGTATCGTCAAGGATGAGTGTTCAACATACTATTCAAACCTATGCAATGTAAGGATTTGTATATACAGATAACTTTCGCTTTTAAGATATTGATATGACATGAAGCCTTTTTTTTTTTTTTTTGGTTTTGTTTTTGTTGTTCACCTGTTATTTTCTTTCACTGTTAAATTCCATTTTCCATGTGCAGGCTCACTGCGGTCCTTGTGTAGCTGTTGCTGAGGGAAAGGTGAAAGTTGAAAAATTTTCCACACTAAGGGAACATGATATTTGTGACACAATACAGGCAAGATTCATTCAATCATGGGCTGGCTGTGGTCTTAATACTAGTCATTTTGTGTGTTTCTCATGTGACTAAATTGTCTTTATGTAGCAATGCCAGGGTTGTGCTGAAAACAAAGGCTTTGAGGTAATTTTTACTGTAACTTTGTTTTCTAGGTTATGAAACAATTACAATCTTGAATGACCTTCTTGATAATTCAATTTGGTTTTGTTTGTTGATTGTATGTTAAGAAATTAGTCACTTGCTTTCAATTTTCTCAATGGGTGTTTGGATGGCCTTTAGATACTAACAAATTGGGAATTTGGCCTTTAGATACTAACAAATTGGGAATTTGGGGTCAGCTAGAAAGGAAGGGTTGGCTCCACAACTGTCACTGAAACCAGACACAATGTGCTTAGGCAGACACTTTTTAGAGTAGTTTTACCTATGCTCCCCCTTCCAATTGCAGGGGGAAAATACACTAGGCAATAGTTATGTCGTTGGAAATAACTATTGAAAGGGGGAGCATAGGTAGAATTGAAGAGGTAGATGCTGTCGAGGTTAGTGTAGGGTTGGATAATGCTTTGAGAAGAGAGAAATGAGCTGAAATCAAGGATGGAGGAGGTCACTCTTATTGAACAAATTTCTTGGGCTCAAAAGGCAAAACTAAAATGGCTCAAGGATGGAGATCTTAATTCCAAGTTCTTTCACAGGGTTGTGGATTGAAAAAGGAAAAGGAAGCTCATAAAAAGTTTAGAGGTGGGGCAAGGGATGATGGTAGATGAAGACGATCACATTATCAGCGAGATTTTTAGGTTTTATTCAAACCTTTATTCGGATTGGAGGGAGAGGGGGGTTAGGGGGGGCGTTAGTACGACCTAAGATTGAAGGTCTTGAGTGGTCGCCGATTGATGAGGTAAAGACAAGGTGGTTAGAAAGACCTTTTTAGAAATGGAAATTAAAGAGGCAGTTTTTGTATGTGAAAGAGACAAAATCCTAGGGCTAGATGGTTTTTCCATGGCAATTTTTTAAGATTGCTGGGAGGTGGTGGAGAGATTTAGTGAGAGTTTTGTAAAATTTCACGAAAAGGGGATTGCTAATTTTTGTAGAACTGCGCCATTCATATGTTTGATCCATAAAAAAGAGAATTCAATGAAACTCAATGATTTTAGACCTATAAGTTTGGTCTCATCTCTCTATAAGATTTTGGTAAAGGGACTATCAGAAAGACTATGAGTGACTTTGGGGGATACTGTTTCTTCGGTTCAAGGAGACTTTGCTAAGGGGTGTCAGATTTTGGATGGTGCCTTGGCGGCAAATGAGTTGGTGGAGAAGTACCAAACTATGAGGAAAGGAGGGTATCATTTTCAAAGTTGATTTTAAGAACGCATATGACCATGTGGATTGGCATTTTTTGGGTTTTGTAATGCATAGAAAGGGTTTTGGAGAGAGATGGAGAAAATGGATTTGGGGGTGGCTGTCGACTTGTGACATGTCAATTATTGTTAATGGGGAACTTGGGAATTCTTTGAGGGCTAGTAGAGGTTTAAGGCCGGGTGATCCTTTATTTCCTTTCCCCTTTATTCTGGTGGTAGATGTGTTGGTTGATGGCGCTAGATATTTATGTTTAGTGGAGGGGTTTGGGAGGGATAGAGTTTGTCTCATCTTCAGTATGCGGAAGACACCATATTTTTTTCATCAAGGGAGGAGAGCAAGGTGGGTTGCTTTTGATCTCTTTTAAGAGTTTTTGAGGTCGTTTCGAGTCTTAAGGTCAATTTGAACAAGAGCAGCGTAGTGGGTATTAATTTGCGACAAAGTCAAGTTTAGAGGTTGGCAGGCATTCTAGGGTGTTCCATTGAGAACCTTTATAGGGTAATCCTAGGAATGAGGCATTTTGGCTTCCGGTTGTTGAAAAGATATGTAAGAGATTGGAGGGTTGGAAGAGAGCTTTGCTTTCGAAAGGTTGGAGGTACACGTTGATTCATTTTATTCTGAGTGGTGAATATCTACTTTTTGTCCCTTTTCAAGATTTGGAAAACTTGATGAAGGATTTCCTGTGGGAATGAAAGGATGAAGGTAAGAAGGTGCACTTGGTTAATTAGGAGATTGTTTCATTGTCTAAGGAAAAAGGGGGTCTAGCAATTTGGCAACACTGCAGCGAGGAATATTGCCGTTCTTGGTAAGTGGTTATGGAGATTTCCATTGGGGAGTGATTCATTATGGCATTCTATTATTAAAAGCAAGTATGGGGTTCAAGATGATAGTAGGTTTTCTTGAGTGGTCATTAGGGGTAATTGTCGATCCCATTGAAAATCAATCTCTCATGTTTTCCTTCTTTTTTCTAGATTTCTTTATTTGAGGGTGGGAAATGGCGAAAAAATTCATTTATGGGAGGAAATTTGGACTCGAAACTCTTCTATTGATGTGTACTTCCTGCGTCTTTATAGGTAGCAAACTCTTTATCATTCTTCCATCACTTCTTGGCAAGCTCTAATTTGGCTTTGATTGCTTGGAACTTTAGTTTCTCAAGAAATCTTACTGAAAGGGAGGTTGGCGATTTAACTTCTTTGTTTTTTCTTATTGACCATTTACCTTTGGACCGTAATGCAAGTGGTAAACAGATGTGACTCTTTCATTCTTCAAGTGTCTTTTCTTGCAAATCTTTTTTTGATAAGATTATAGAGAACCCAACTGTTTCATTCTTTCCTTTTCACTAAAGAATTTGGAAGTTTTTTGCGCCTTAGTTTTTTATGTGGTCAATGGTTCATGTAAGCATTTTGACGAATGATATTTTTAAAAAAAGGAGCCCTAATTGCTATCTTTGTCCTCAATGGTGTATTATGTGTAAGGGCAATGGGGATTCTTCGAATCATCTATTTTTACACTGTCCAGTGGGTGTAAGGGCAATGGGGATACTTTGAATCATCTATTTTTACACTGTGCAGTGGCAAGGTGGATGTAGCAGCAGTTCTTTCTTTGAGTGACCTTGCATGGGTGGCTCCCAAAGCAAGCAAATCCATGCTCTTAATTGATTTTTGAGTTTTGGGCAACAATAAAAAGGCGAAGATGTTGGGGCTTTGCGCGCTGTATTGGCAATTTTTTGGGTTATCTAGCTGGAAAGAAATGTGAGTATCTTTGAAGATAAAAGTGTTGATGTAACCTCTTTGTGGGAAATGGTTAGTTTTGGCATCTTTTTCGGCTTCAGTGGCTCCCCCGTTTAAAGGGATTCCGCTTTTCTTGGTCTCTAGTGATTGGAAATCAGTGTTTTCCTCCACAGATTTCTGTTTTGGAAACTAGTGTTTTGAGGTCCTTCTTGTAAACCTCTTTATTTTTTCCCTTTTTAATAAAAGTTCGTTTTGTTGTTGATAAAAAAGAAAAAGAATATGTTGTTGGAGATGGATTTAGAATCGCTGCTGTCCACACGGTTTAGAATCTCTATAATTTATCTTCTCAATATGTGAAGTCATTAAGAAAAGGGATTAGTAGGGGATGCCACCTGCATTCAATTTCTCAAATTCAATGGCCAGCCAAAAGTGGCTTTTGGGTAAATTTATTTTCTCAGTTTTTCTTCTATTTATAACGGTCATGAATATTGTTAAGCAGATGAGTTTTTCTCTCGTCTTTTGACATATGTGCATATTCCCAAAGACAATTTTTACTGTATTCTTGAATTTGAGATTTAAGGCTTTGCCTGCCTCTATGTGCTTGAGTCATATCCAGTGGGCATGGATATATTTCGGCAAAGTGGAAGAGTTCATGTAACACAAGCTAGGACTCGATGTTGGATCATGTTCAAGGTTTTCATTAAAGCTCCTGTAACTCATGCTTTTAAAAAGGCTCTTGCAAACTTAGCTTTGAGAATGGAAAGCTGTTGTCGAATGCCGTGTCTTTCCCCTGGACACCTTTATCATACATGGAAGTATTCTGAACAATTAAAAATTAAAAAACTTGCTTTGTTTTCATTGTTGTATACAAACAGTGTTTGAAAATTCCAAAATATTTTTTTGGTGTTTACTAACAAGCGGGCTGTTTTTAGAAAATTTTATAGAAAACTGTGGTTGTATTGTTGTTTACGAGGTCCAACAAACCTGGATTTAATACACAAAGGCAATTTTAGATACCAATAAAATCAATCCTTTTAGTTGGAGCCGCGTCAGTAGCAGTGGTTTTATTAAAATGGGACTAGATTGGTTGATTCGACCGATTCACTCATTGATGGATTTAGGTTTTTGTCTGGATAAACAATCAATCCATTGACAACTGGTAAGAACTACGGTTGAATTGGCTACCAGTTCGAACTACGGTTGAATTGGCTACCAGTTCGAACTGGTAGCTGGGTCAAGAAAACCGGTTGAGGCAATCCAATGATCCTAACACATGGGCCTACCAGCTGCCAAGCGAACTTCGTAAAAGTCAACATTTAGGGTGGCTCAAACACAACCCCATGGATAGTGGTCTCACTTTTAACCACTATACCACAATGTCCCTTTGTTGATATTAGCAAAACTAAGGCTGTGTTTGGTGGAGCTTTGGAAACGTGATTCTACAGCTTGGTTTAAGTACTGTGTTTGGTTAAAAATTGATTCCACACCTACTTTTGAAAACACGTCTACCCGGTCATCTTTCTTGACGTCCGGTCGGTTGACCGCAACAGTGTTTTTTTTTTTCTTTTTTTTTTGGGGGGGGGGGAATTGGCACATGTTATTTTTATATTTTAAATGAAAAATATTTTCGGAATTTTTTAAAAAAATTTATGAGCTTTGAATAGAATTTTGAGTTGTGTGTTTGTTATGAATTGTAAGTTTTTGAATCAAACAACTTTTCTAATTTCATATGTCACATCAAAAATTCAAAACTCTTTTCAAAACTCATAACCAAACAAATTTTCTCTTTTCAAATCATAATTTCAAAACTCACAAACTCAAAATACAACTCTATTCTCAAATCATAATTCTAAAACTCTACCAAACGCTACCTTATATTATTTATTGCATTTTCTTTCAAACACTAAGTACAATTGATTTTTTATTATATTTTTTTGACTTCTTATTTTTGTAAATAATCAGTATATAAAATATAAATGTATAGGCAATTATATTCAATAAATATATTCATGTAAATATATATGTATCTTAAAATGTAAAAATTAATTTAAATGAATCTATCTTAATACCTTTATATTTTAGTTAAGTATAATTTTTCATATTTGTATGTCAAAATTATAATTATGACTTCATGTCTTGATTTTAGTTGAATCGGTGATCCTTGATTAGATCCTAATTCTAGTTTGGCCATTTCTGCGTTTAAGAACATTGGTCAATAGAATCAAACAATTGTAATGCATTTTCATGTTCGTGAAGATCTTTTGATAAAATGATGTTGCGCACGTAATTTTTTTGCCCTTCAGTGGCTTCTTGGACTTTTGAATTTTCTACCAAAGCAATATCACTTTCCTCGTACTTGCAAACTCCTTGATCAATAATTTCTACTTGATTGTTACAATCCATTTGAGGAATTTCTGAAGTATCCCATAAAGGGGAGCACAACAATGTAGTTGAATGGACAACTAGAAGAGGTAATGCTCACCTCCCAAGTTCTATCATTCGTTTTTTAAACAAATAAAATTTGTCGTTTTTACAATTTTAGCGTGGTGTGACTCTACATATTTGTATCATTTGAGAGCCTTTTATATGTCATAAATTTTAGAATTGTGTGTCTTCTAGCTCATGCATGATAACAATGTCTGTTTTCCCAATCGCATGTGTGTTCTAGCCTGTGGTGTGGGTTGTATTTGTTAGCATTGTCTTGATGCTCCTTTTCTAATAAAGTTACTCTTGCTCATAAAAATAAATAAATGTGTTCTAATGCCCTAAAAATTTTGGGTCAGTTGGGAATTATTTTCACCCTTTGTAGACACAGATGTTTTGGCAGCATTGTCATTGTCGTAATGACTTTATTGCTACTCTTAACATTGGCAAGTGTCCATATGATTGCCTGTATAACTTTATTTATTTTTTCTTTCTTTCCTTATTTATTTATTTTTAGATTGAGTTTTGTTATGAGGAAGTTTAATCTTGTCTTCATACCTTTTGTTGTAGGTTTATCCGTGGGCCTTTCCTTTTGACCCTGATAAGGTCTTTCCTTTCTTCAGTTTGTGTCATAATATTGTCCAAATATTATGGTTGCTACTATTTTGCACTGTTGTGAGAACTCATTCACCAATGATGGTTTACTGAATCATGCTGAGTTGATTAATAATTTTTATGGATGTAGTGGGATGATATTAGCCAGTCTGACATAATAAGTGCAATGAGGGAGGTGTTGAAGTATGTGCCTTTAAAGGTAAGAGCTTGATGTTTGTCTTCTTGACTGAATTCATCACTACTGCATGGCGTTTTCCTTTAAAGTTATTCTCCTCAACTTAGTTCTTCAGACTAAATGTAACAGCTGAATGATCACTCAAGTTTTGTTCTCTAAAATCATGGTTTGCTGGCCTAATCTGATGTGCTGCTAGTGCTTGTCTAATCTGATTGTTTATGCTAACATGGGTTGCAGCTTCAACATGATGTGTGTCGTGTTCTTAACACTGATCATTTGTTAAAAGTAGATGAATGATCAGCATTCATTCACATCCCACATTTTTATTTGCAAGAGTATTCACAATTTAGTCATTGAAGGCTTCAATTTGAAGCAATTTTTTCAGTCACACTCTAGTTTCTTCATTTAAATCTTATTTTTTTAATCCCATAGTACTTCCTTTTTTCTTTTTCATTTTTCATTTTTTTCCCCTTCTTTCATGATCAATACTTGAAATGTAAATGATCAATTTCAATCAAAGGTCTGATATGTTATCCAAGCATATATATTTTATATTGGACAATGTTTTTCTTTCTGAATAGGTGACCTTATTTCGTTCTATCATTATCATCATCATCATTGCTATTTTTGTGTCGGAAACCAGGAAGACTGTAAAATGCAGCTTACCTTGGAGTTGTCTCGTCCAAAATGTTATCATATTCTTGATAATTTGACTTTAGAGGCTGTGAAGGACGTCAAGATTCAAGAGTTACATAGATTTGTTGATGACGTATCATCTGATGAGTCAATAGCTGAGGATGCAAAAACCATGCTCTATGATTTTGCTAATGGCATAATCGACGGGCTCTATGTCTTGTCTGATTTCAAAGGAGATGCGGTATTGCCATCTCTTTCTCTGTTCCCCTTTTCCTCTTAATTTATTGAGTGATGAAGTGGCCTCTCTTTATTTCCTAAGAAGCACAAACATTTATAAGAAGGTGTCCGTATCGGACATGTGTCCTAATTAATGCGTCTATTATTTTTGGTAAATTACACTAACCTCCCTTGAGGTTTAGGGAAAATACATTGAGCCCACAAGTTTGGCCTAATTACATTGGGCTTCTTTTAGGTTTTAATTCACTTAACACTTAGCCCCATTTTTATCAATAATTGGTTAATCGCATGAATAGAAAACAATGTTGTATCTTTTAGACTTTTACATTGAAACGTATATTTTACCATGGTTATTTCTATTTGTTTTCACGCCATGTACATAGTTCCAGTCCTTTTAGCCTTGCTAAAACCAAACTTGTGGGGTTTATTGTATTTTTCTAAACATCAAGGGTGGTTAGTGTAATTTACCCTATTGTTTTTTAAAGTTTTTTAGAACTTAACAAGTTTAACACCCTTGCGACACATGTATCATCACCTAGACAAACATGAAACACATTTTAAGTTCAAAGAAATTAACTTAGGATCATTTATCAAAAAAAATTAAAAAAAATACTTAGGGTCAAATGATAATATAAATATAATGTGGATGTGTGCCTATTCTTTCTTTCTGGACTTTTTAGTTTTAGGATTTCTAAATCCTGAAGTTTCTAATTTATTTTGTAGTAAATCTTTCTAAATTAGATATTTGGGATTTTTTTTCACACTGGCCTCCCTCAAGATTTCAGAAAAATACATCAAGCCAAACAATTTGACATAATTAGATTATCCTCCCAAAGTTTTGTATTTTCATAAAACTTACATCCATGCTGTTAGGTTAATGTTAGGATAGTAAAGCGTCTAGGTTAGGGTTCTAAGTCAAGTCTATAAGCTGATTTTTTCATTTCGTATTGGAGATCAATTTGTCTTTTAAACACAAAGTATGTCAAGGGAAAATATTAATTTTATCTATATTTTGTTACCTATGTTTGGAGGCTAGGGTAATTATGCTACATTACAGGACTTATCATATTTTTCTTAAATGTCGAGGGAGATCAACGTAACTTGCCTAGTTTTTTAAAATATTGAATTGAATGTAAAAATGGTTTCTTATTATTTTGATATAATAAAATAAAATGTATTTGTAAATTGAAAATGAATAAATTTTTATTATTTCTATATTTGTAACAATATATAGAAAATGATGGGACTTAAAAGGCTTGGTTTGGTTTGTTATATATGTAACAATATATTGTTTGGTGAAAATTACCCACCCCTGATCTTTCATGAAAATACACAAACACCCCCAAACATTAAAAAATAGCACAAACACCCCCACAGTTTGAAGGTGTATCAACAAGACCCTAAAACCTTACGAACATTACTAACAATACTATTTTTGCTGATCTCAGCCAAAATGATGTCTAATATATTTTATCCCCATATTACACTTCCTATGTGATTTATACCCTTCCTATATTTATAGTCATAAGCACCTCCTGATATTTGATTATAGGCATCATCAAGACATTTGTCAAAATTTGGGTTTACTTAATTTTTTGAAGACAAATCGTTAATTAATTATAATAAACAATAACAAATAAATGCCAAAATTGTTGTATCTTTTCACTACACACCACCCATATACACATATATAGTCATAGGCATTGTCCAATAAGAACAGGATCAACAAATACAAATTCCTATTATAACTAAAATTCCTAAATAAAACTAATCTCTCATTAAAAGTAAATACTATTCTAGTTAGGGCTACAAACGAACTGAGCTATTTGTGAGCTTGGCTTAGTTCAATTCGTTAAGTTAATAAACAAGTTTAAGCTTGACTTTTAGGCTTGTTTTGAGCTCGAGATTGAATAAGTTTGGCTTGTTTATTTTTATTTAAATTTAAATTTAAATTATAAAATAAATATATTATTTATATATTAAATAATATAAAACATGTATAAATAATAGCATTAATACATTATTTATATTTAAAATAATATAAATAATATTTGTATTTAAATTTTTTATTAAATAATAAATAAATATATTATTTATATATTTAAATAATGTAATTTTTAATAATAAAAAATTAATTATCAATCTTCCAGTTGAGCTCGAACTCAACTGATAGGGTAAATTACACTTTGCACTCTTGCACTTTGCATCAAATCCCACTTTGGCCCTACACATGAAATTATGACAATCTCACTTTGGTCCCTACACATGAAATTGTGACGGTCAACCTCCTGTATTTTTGGTCAAATCTCACTTTGGTCCCTACACAAGTGTCAATATGCCCTTTTCTATTACTCAATTGTTTAAATCTTTAACATAATCTAATCGTGTGACAAGGATACGATTACAACATGAGGGTAAGAGAAAAAAATCATCTACATTTTTCATCAATACACACTTTGTCCCAAAATTTACATCAAATTAGGACTATATTAGGCTAAAACAAAATGCAGATTGTGAACGATTAAGAAGATGAGCTAAAGTTTTGCATGAATTGGAATCTTGAAATTCTATTTTCACTATAACACAATCTTTTATCTATTCATCTTTCTTTCTCTTTGATTTATTTGGCACATTTTTTTATTATTTTAAAAGCTTTATTTTCTTGCTTCTTTGTCCCAATTTTTAGCATACGAATATATATGTATATATATTGTATTATATAACTCTCACGCGCTTATCACGTAGGACACAGTATATTGGTAGGAAACATGGATGATTTTCCTCTCTTACTCTCATTTTGTATTCACATTTTTGTCACGTGATTGAATTTTGTTAAAGATTTAAAAATGAAGTTATAGAAGAAAGACGTTGACACTTGTGTAGGGACCAAGGTGGGATTTGAGCAAAAGTGCAGGGGTTGATTGTCACGATTTCATGTGTAGGGACCAAAGTGGGATTGACCAAATGTGCAAGGGCTTGACGGTCATGATTTCATGTGTAAGGGCCAAAGTGAGATTTGGTGCAAAGTGTAGTGGTGCAAAGTGTAATTTACCCCAACTAATATTAACAAGCCGAGCCGAGCTCGAGTTGGATAATCGAGCTCGATAAACAAAAAAACCGAACTCGAACCCAACAAAGCTCGATTCGTCTCTGTTCGTTTGCAACCCTATTCTAGTTGAGGTATGACCTGGGTATATGCTAGGTACCTTTGAGTATGACAAAAATTAAGAAAAAAAATTTGAGTACGTGTTGTCTACTTGGTACACATAGAAGTACTAGGGATAGAAGACCAAAACATTGCTGTGCATTATCTTTGCTATCTTTTGGACCATTTGGTTGGAAAGAAATGATAGAATTTTTTTGGAAAAGGAATCAGAGGTTAATGCTTTGTGGGATAGGGTGAGGCATCTTGCATTAGTTTGGGCCAGTGTATCTCCTCCTTTCACGGACATATCTCTTTTTTTGATTACTAGGGATTGGGATACTGTTTGTTATACCTAGTGGTGGTTTGTTTTATGTTTTAGTTGGCGCTTCTTTGGATTTTAGGTGAGTTATTGTCTTTGTATGAGGACTTCTTGTCCTCCCCTTGTTTTCACTTTTTATTTTAATAAAATTGTTTTGTTATTGTTAAAAATAAAAAATAAAAAAATGGAAGTACTAGTGCCCAAAACATACTAATATGACTTGTTTTTCGATGTGCCATGCTTCATAGGGTTCAATCAAGACCCTGATAACTCTTTTGAATGCTGACAACATGCCAATGCTTTTGTTTTCCTTTTTACAGTTGATCTATTTTCAGGAAGCTATCATATTTCCTATATCACGTGGGAGCTTCGGACCTTGTACAGACGAGCTTCGTGGAGTGATTAACATTGCTGATAATGAGAGAAGAATGCAATGTCAACGTTTCATCAGCGTACAACACATTTTGTTTGGCCTCTCTTTTTCAAGAGTTGGTGACAATGTGAGGATGCTCAATGACAGGCCAAGATGTTCGGGTGGATTACATTCAAAACTGTCTATGTTTAGCATTTACAAGTTATCACGCATAGCAGCCGACAGACTTGGTAAAATCTCTTATCTTTGTAATGGCCTCAATATTCCATTGAATAGTTTGTATCTTTTAAAATATGTGAATGTTATGAATCTTGTAAAATATCCTCTCCTTTATTCTAAATGGCTGTATAATTATATGTTCTATAAATTTTCGAGGCATAAAATGAAATAAACTAACATGATCAGTTGCAAACGTAGTTGAGTCATAATTATGTTTGAATTGGGTTGGAGAAACTTGATCAAGTCTGGTGGCAGGAAGAATTAGGTTTATGCACATATTCATGTGTTATTTTAAACTTGAGCAAATTTTGCAGGTGATAAGGAGGTTGGACTTGAGCACTTGGTTCTGGCAATTTTCTTTGGAAAGCAAGAGGACGATCCTATTAAGAGGGTAAGGGCCATAATTCAATAGCTACTGTTTAATTGCCATCTATAATACCAAATTTCAGGGTTTGTCTTTATTTTTAATTGGTTACCCTTTGTAGTTAGGCTTTTCGTATTTACAATCTTATTTGAGCTTTTATGCGCCCTGGCATTTAAGTTTTGGTTTGTTATGTGTATATAAATTTTTTTACCTGAATGACCTGTAAAGCATATTTGCTTAGTGACATTTAGCAATTAATGTTTTAATTTTTTTTTTTCCTCGAAGGTGGAACTGGAGTACGGCAGTTCTCTGTTCTTCGACGATAATGCATTTGATCCTGAGCTTGTGGACTGTGAGAAGCAACACCTTCTTTTGTTCTTTGGTGAAAGTATCTTACATAACGGGTATATCACAGTAGTGTATACCTCTCCCACACAAACATATGGAGAAGGGTTTCACATGCTTGTGATTTAGAAGAATACACCACAGTTGTATACCCGTTACATAAAAATACTACCTCTGTTTTTTAACCCTTGTGTGTTTATATTACACCAAGCTATTATATATTAAATTTACAATCTACATGTAGAATTTTATACAATTAACTTAATTTTCTCATTTTTGTTTCTTTTATTCTTCCCTTTCTCTAGGTTTGAAAAGTAGTTGCACTGAGTGACGCAAAAAGCTTGGAGTACTCTGCTGTTTTCAAAGAATTCTTACCAGAAAATTGTTTTGATGGGGCACTAGTGAAATGTTGTGGCCTTGTGGTCATGGAAAAATTGCACGAGGCTCTCAAGTGTGGTGGCTTGAGGTTGAGTCCAATTCATGAGGAGAGTTAATATCACCTTTCCTTGTGTGGGCAGGCTTAAGACATTATATTCAAGTCTCTCACTTTTATTATTGTTAGATACATAATTTTGAATGCTCTTGAGAACATGGATGGATGGTTAGGCTTAATATTCTAAGACATTATAGGCAAGTCTCTCACCTTTATTATTGTTAGATGCATCATTTTGAATACAATAATACTATAAATTCATATTCAACTATTTCGAAATTATCTAGAATTATCATCTAATGGTTCAAATTTATTCTATACATGGATTTTACAATACACAAATTCATTCTCAATCACGTATCAACATTTAGTAAATTCAGGGATTATAAGTTTGGGTTCTCACAACTATTCTTTTGAATACCCTTGAACATTGATGGATGGTAATTTTATTATTATTATTATTACCTATTAGGAGGATTCTTAGGTATGCTTTGCATACTATATGCAAGGCATACATGGTTCTTTATACATTTTCCTTGTTTAGGTTATACAAGTTTGTATTACTAGTTATACAAATTTGTGTTAAAAGTTATACATTATTGACCTGCTAAGCAAGTCAACTTACAGATAAACACTATTAAAATAATAGATTATATTATATGTGTAAGTATTTTCACAAAAATTCGTAAGTTTGTTTTTAAAAAATTTAGAATACAAAAATGAGTAAGTGAACACAAATACGAGTAAGTTTTTGAAGAAAATTTAGATTTCACAAAAATGAGTAAGTTTTTACAAAAATGTGTATTTGTGTTTTCGAAAATTTAGAACAATACAAAAATGCATGTTTCCAAAAATTTAGAACACAAAAATGTGTAAGTTTTTGTAACTCTCATAAGTGATTTCACAAAAAGGCGTAAATGTGTTTTTAAAAATTTGAAATGACATAAAAATGAGTAAGTTTTCACAAATTAAGTAATTAATTTCACAATATTGTGTAAGTTTCACAACTCATATAAGTGATTCTACAAAAATGTGTAATTGTGTTCCCAAAAATTTAGAATAATACAAAAATGAGTAAATTTTCAAAAATCACGTAAGTGATTTTATAAAAATGCGTAAGTAAACACAAATACGAGTAAAGTCCCAAGAGAAAACTTTGATTTCATAAAAATACTAAGTTTTCACAACTCATAAAAGTGAGTTTACAAAAATGCACAAGTGTGTTTTCAAAAATTTAGAACAATACGAAAATGTATAAGTTTTCACAAAACTGTGTAAGTATGTTCTCAAAATTTTAGAATAACACAAAAATACGTAAATTTTCATAACTCACATAATTGATTTCATAAAAATGAGTAAGTGTGTTCCGAAAAATTTAGAACAACATAAAAATGCATAAATTTTCACAAATCAAGTGTTTTCACATAATGCGTAAATGAATACAAATACGAGTAAGCCCCAGGAGAAAACTTAGATTTCATAAAAATGCGTAAATATGTTCTCAAAAATATAAAACAACACAAAAATGCATAAGTTTTCACAAAAATACGTAAGTTTTCACAAAAATATGCAAGTGTGTTCCCAAAAATTTAGAACAACACAAAATGCATTAGTTTTGACAAATTACATAAGTGATTGCACAAAAATGTGTAATTTTGTTATCAAAAATTTAGAATAATTAAAAACGTGTAAGTCTTCACAAATCACGTAAATTATTTCACAAAAATGTGTAAATGAACACAAATACGAGTAAGTTCTTGGAAAAAATTTGGATTTCTCAAAAATACGTAAATTTTCACAACTTATGTAAGTGATTTCACAAAAATACATAATTTTCACAAAAATACGTAAGTTTGTTCCCAAAAATTTAGAACAACACAAAAATGTGTAAGTTTACACAAATCACGTAAGTGATTTGGCAAAAATGCGTAAATGAATACAAATACGAGCAAGTCCCTAGAGAAAACTTAGATTTCACAAAAATGTATAAATTTTCACAACTCACGTAATTTCACAAAAATGGGTAAGTGTGTTCCCAAAAATTTAAAACAACATAAAAATGCGTAAGTTTTCACAAATCACGTAAGTGATTTCACAAAAATGCGTATACGAAAGTGTGTTCCAAAAAATTTAGAACAATACAAAATGCGTTAGTTTTCATAAATCACATAAGTGATTGCACAAAAATGTGTAACTATATTACCAAAATTTTAAAATAATACAAAAATGCATAAGTTTTCACAAATCACGTAAGTAATTTCACAAAAATGCGTAAGTGAACACAAATATAAATAAATCTTTGGAAAAAACTTAGATTTCATAAAAATGCGTAAGTTTGTTCCCAAAAATTTAGAACAATACAAAAATGTGTAAGTTTACACAAATCACGTAAGTAATTTAACAAAAATGCGCCAGTGAGCACAAATATAAGTAAGTCCAAACTTGGATTTTGCATTAGTCTTCACAACTCACGTAACTGATTTCACAAAAATGCATAAGCTTTCACAATAATGCATAAGTTGTTCCAAAAATTTTAGAACACAAAAATGCATAAATTTTCACAAGTCATGTAAATGATTTCACAAAAATGCGTAAGTAAACACAAATACGATTAAGTCCTTGAAGAAAACTTGGATTTCACAAAATGCGTAAGTTTTCACAACTCACGTAAGTGATTTCACAAAAATGTGTAAGTTTTCACAAAAATACGTAAGTTTGTTCTCAAAAATTTAGAATACAAAAATGCGTAAATCTTCACAAGTCACGTAAGTGAACATAAATATGAGTAAGTCTGGGAGAAAACTTGGATTTCACAAAATACGTAAGTTTTCATACCTCACGTAAGTGATTTCATAAAAATACGTAAGTTAACACAAAATTCACGTTTGTTTCCCAAGATTTAGAACAATACAAAAATATGTAAAATTTCACAAATCACATAAGTAATTTCACAAAAATACTTAAGTGAACACAATACGAGTAAGTGCTTGGAGAAAATTTTGATTTCAACAAAATGCGTAAATTTTCAAGACTCACGTAAGTAATTTCACAAAAATACGTAAATTAACACAAAATTTGCATAAGTTTGTTTCCAAAAATATGGAACAATAGAAAAATGAGTAAGTTTTCATAAATCACTTAAGTGATCTCATAAGAATACGTAAGTGAACATAAATACAAATAAGTTCTCGGAGAAAAATTTGATTTTACAAAAATGTGTAAGTAACACAAAATTCGCGTAAATTTGTTCTTAAAAATTTTTAATAACACAAAAATGTGTAAGTTTTCACAACTGACGTAAGTGATTTTCCAAAACATACGTAAGTGATCACAAATACGAGTAAGTCCTTGGAGAACACTTTTATTTCACAAAATTGTGTAAGTTTTAACAACTGACATAAGTGATTTTTCAAAAAAATACGTAAGTGATCACAAATACGAGTGAATATTTGGAGAACACTTTTATTTCACAAGATTGTGTAAGCTTTCACAAAGTCACGTAAGCTTTGTCACAAAACTCAGGGTAGTTAACACAATTCGCGTAAGTTTGTTCCTAAAATTTTTTGACAACACAAAATACGTAAGTTTTCACAACTGACGTAAGTGATTTCACAAAAATGAATAAATGATCACAAATATGAATAAGTCCTTGGAGAACAATTTTATTTCACAAATTTACATACGTTTTCACAAAATCACGTAAGTGGTGTTAAAAAATTTAGGATAGTTAACACAAAATGATGCGTAAGTTTATTCTTAAAAAATTTCAACAACACAAAATTGCATAAGTTTTTACAACTAACGTAAATGATTTTTTAAAAAATGCGTAAGTAATCACAAATACGAGTAAGTCCTTAGAGAACACTTTTATTTCACAAATTTGCATAAGTTTTCACAAAGTCGCGTAAGTGTCACAAAACTCATGGTAGTTAACACAAAATTTTCGTAAGTTTATTCTTAAAAAATTTCAACAATACAAAAATGCATAAGTTTTCACAACTAACGTAACTGATTTTACAAAAATATGTAAGTGATCAGTAATACAAGTCTTTGGAGAACACTTTTATTCACAAATTTGCGTAAACTTTTCACAAAGTCACGTAAATTGTGTGTCATAAAACTCAGGGTAGTTAATTAACACAAAATTCTCAAAAGTTTGTTCCTAAAAATTTTGAAGAACACAAAAATACGTAATTTTTCACAAATAACGTAAGTGATTTCACAAAAATACATAAGTGATCACAAATACGAGTAAGTTTTTGAAGAACACCTTTATTTTACAAATTTGAGTAATTTTCACAAAATCACGTAAGTGGTGTCACAAAACTTAGGATAGTTAACGCGAAATAATGTGTAAGTTTGTTTCTAAAAATTTTTAACAATACAAAAATTCATAAGTTTTCACAATTGACGTAAGTGATTTCTCAAAAAATGCATAAGTGATCACAAATACCAGTAAGTTTTTGGAGAACACTTTTATTTCATAAATTTGCTTAAGTTTTCACAAAATCACATAAGTTGTGTCACAAAACTTAGGGTATAAACACAAAATTCATAAGTTTGTTCCCAAAAATTTTCAATAACACAAAAATGCGTAAATGATCACTAATACTAGTAAGTCCTTGGAGAACACTTTTATTTTATAAATTTGTGTAAGTTTTCAAAAAGTCACGTAAGTTGTGTGTCACAAAGCTTTGGGTAGTTAACACAAAATGACGCTTAAGTTTATTCATAAAAATTTTCAACAATACAAAAATACGTAAATTTTCACAATTAACGTAAATGATTTTACAAAAATGCGTAAGTGATCACTAATACGAGTAAGTCCTTGGAGAACACTTTTATTTCCTAAATTTGCGTAAGTTTTCAGAAAGTCACGTAAGTTGTGTGTCACAAACTTAGGGTAGTTAACACAAAATGACGAGTAAGTTTATTCCTACAAATTATTAACACAAAATATGTAAGTTTTCACAACTGACGTAAGTGATCTCACAAAAATGTGTAAGTGAAGACAAATATATCATAGTCGGTGGATAAATCTTTGATTTCACAAAAATACGTATGTTTTCACAACTCACGCAAGTGATTTCACAAAAAATGCATAAGTTAACACAAAAATCGTGTAAGTTTGTTCCCGAAAATTTTGAAAAACACAAAAATGCGTAAGTTTTCACAACTGACATAAGTGATTTCACAAAAATATGTAAGTGAACACCTTTACGAGTAAGTCGTTGGAGAAAACTTTGATTTCACAAAAATGACTAAGTTCAAACAAAATTCGCATAAGTT